GGAAAAATTTCACAACAACACATAACGTGTTACTGTGACGCATTCTGTAATCTGTTTGGCGATTGCTGTCTGCCGTATCTGTCTTGCAACGAAATCCCCGCTGGGCATAATGCGACCACGACCACAGCATTTAATGTTACAACAAACCAAGTTGAATGCAGATCTCAGAGTACAAAAAGAAACCTACTTAAGAGGTCCATCCTTAAAAGCCAATTAGCTGGTTACCGATTTTTCTGGATGGTCTCATCTTGCTCGAGTGAAACAAAGAGCTCACCCCTCCGTCAAAAATGCGAGTTTTCGGGGTTCACAACTGAACTTGACCTTCTCAGGCCTGTCTCGGACCCTGTAACACAACTTGCTTTTAAAAACATATACTGTGCCGCTTGCAACAATGTAGTTGACCCTTCAGTATGGGAGACGATGTTTAAGTGCGGGCCTATTACTTCAAGCGTTTACGAGATAGTTATCAACATAACTTCATTGAAGGATCTTCTTGAGCGTATTGAGTCTCACGATGCATGTTCACTATATTTTAAACCACCAGAAGAAATTCCAGGAAGACCGTGCGCTTCTGAAGGTCTTGGCCATTATACGGGAACTCGGTGGTTTAGCTCCTGTAGTGCACGAAACATTTTCCTTCAGGAACAGTGCAAAAACGCTCCGTTTACACTGCTACAATATATTACAGATGGTGGAGACTTCATTCTTAGCAGAAATGTTTTCTGTTGGCTGTGCCGCCTCAGTTTTTTTCCAGACACTTTCACAGATTGTTCAGAGTTGGGTAGGTCCATCGTTTGTTGTGATCTTGAAGTTAACTTTAAGTTACTGACAGGGTTTATGATAATACAGTTTCGAAAATGATTTTACAACTAATTACTCAATTATGCATCTACAAAAAATACCCTCGAAAATATAAGATATCGGCGTTTATATTTCTCGTTCCAAAGAAGGAACATAAGCACCTCGGAGCGTTTATCGTCAGTTTTGAGCTTTCAGTTTTTAGGTGAGATAGCAATCCGTACGAGGCGGAACTTCATCCCTGAACAAGATCTTATCACTAATATTGGCATAGGTGACGACAAGTATATGGGCTTCAAACCTGTCCCATCATTCTGGTTTAAATGTTTTTTTCATGGACTATGAGCCCCTAATTACAATTATTTAATGAAGAAAGGCATTATTTTGCCTTTTTGGCTATAAATTTTGAACTAAGGTATTTAAGAGAAATCGCTGGCATGGTTTTGAAGTACTCAATGATGTCATTAAATTGGCGTCAAAGCGGTACTCGTGGGTGCTCATGTAAAGGAAGAAATTTGAGAAGCTGATTTTGCAATTTGTACTCCAAAATCGCGATTATGAGGTCATTGATAAAATGACATTTGTATAAATGCAAAGTTTTTTTGTTGGCGAGTCTCAAGATTCGTGTGTTATCCAAAACACGAATGTTAAGACAGTAATTAAATTAGGAGTTTGTGTCAAACCCTGTCCGTAACCTTTATAATGCTGGCTATTCATTTGTATTTTTAATTGGTCTTCGGCTGTTTAGAGATCCTTTTATTTTTCTTTAATTTTCTTTATTTATGTCAAAAACAAATACAAGTTATACAAGGTATATGACATACCATCAATATTTGATTCACACTGCTATAATTTTAAAAACTAATTTTCAATTAAGATAGAAACATATATTTTGGTTTACAAGAGTCGAAATGTGCTTTTCCTTTTTGACAAAAACTTCAGGTGATCTATTCCCTATTCGCGGGTTCGACCCTCTCGGACTGGGAGTACTTATTGATGTGGCACACGAAAAGGACTGGTGTCAGCCACAAATAGGCACAGTAAGTAACTGTATATTACATTTTTTGTCTTTTCTGCAGGAGACTAAAGCTCGTGTCATTTCTTCTTGAGGGGCAACCTTTTCTCAAAAATGCCATGTGGCTCAATAAGGATATGTGTTTGTATTTTTGCAATTGCAAAATATTTTGTTTCCTACTTGTCTAAACCATCTTCTCTCGAGTCTTATCTTTGTATTTTACAGTTGTCTCTCTTCACTTCTGATATTTAAAATTTAATATTTTACATCTATTGATTTTAACCATGTTTATACCATTATGTAGGTCAACGTAGCCTAAAAGTTAACGTATGTTCTGGGTCATATATTATTTAATTTTTTGTATCATATTTCAAGTATGTTGTAGAGGTTCAGTCATGGTAAATTAAAGCAGACGTAAGAACGTCTTTATAATATTAAATATGTAACATTCTATTTTTAATATTCAGTGACAAACAAACTAAAATCGCACAAAAATGATTATACGCTCTAATCAGAAAATCCTCATGTTTTAACAAGGCAACGGCAACATTTGGCAACGTAAATTTCCAATTGGGCTTCTTGCACGTCTGACCATAAAGTAACTAAAATGTAGATGTAAAATTGATACAACTTTGGATTGTTGTTCTATTCACATGTTTTAAAAATGAATACTGCTTCGAATTCATTCAATTTTTATTTATTTATTTATTGAGACTTCAGCTTGTAAATTGCCCCTCTATGTTAAGTTCGGGTGAAAAACCAGACGAATAATTTAATAAGAAGCGTTTACATGAAGTTCTTGGTCGGAAAAATAAGATAAACTATATATTTTATATGTAGTTTATACAATTGTTTATTTCAGGCACAGCACTTTGCCTCAAAAACTATGGGACAAGACCAGTGTTTTTCGCCTGTAGTTGGTGTTTTCACTGGCTTTTACGACTTAAAGCTATCGATTGCCCCCCAACATGAACTGCAGAACCACACTGGTTGGACTAGCTGCAAGTCAGTAGCGGATCACGTATTGCCCTATAGTTTTTACTTTTCCAAACGGGATGAATGGGTATTTTTGGAAGAGAAGGTAACATGCTCTGCCATGTCAGTTGATGCGAATGTCAAGTCATTGGCAAGGGCAATATTTGTCTATACTATCCCAGTGGTTTCAAAAAGAAATATCAACAGTTACATTGAGGGTATTCCCTTCTTTGAATCTTTGCAAGATGAGGTTGTCAAGTATCTCCAACGGAAAAGTGTGATTAGTCATAACGGGGTACATTACAAAGTAAGCCTCATCCGGGAAGAGCGACAACTTTGTGAAGACATAGAACGCGAGACAGAGGGTAATACATGTACGATGCCGCCGCATTCCTTTGGAGCTGACCAACGTGTCCCTTGGTTTGCTATCGTGGTATGCTTCAGTGGCGCCCTGATGTACTTTTTGCTATCTTAATGATTTTTGTGTGGTTGAAGGACATTTTAAAATATAAATGATTTAAGTTTGTGTCAGGACCAGTATAGTGTTTAGCCACTGTAGTTGCATTAATGATGAGAATTGGCTATCACACGCTGAAGCACAAAATGGCAAGAAATGATAAATGATCTTAAAATATTATAATTAATTTAAATAAATAATAACAGCATCAAAAACGGATCTTGATTCACTTCATTTCTGATCACCTTCTATGATGTCTAATCTTAAAATTTACAAGTAGACACAGTAGTCAACTGGGGCATTTGTCAAAAACCGTTTGACACCCACCTTTCAGTTTTTAACCACATATGTCGTACGCGCACGAGACAGGGGAGGCTGAGAGACCATGCCCTTTTCTTTAAGAAAAATATAGTTAAATAAGTCATTAAATCGCCAAGGACCGAGACCTCCTTCAACCAATGTCGAGCTTCGAGGCGCGCGTGCACACATGTAATATGTAGCTGGTTTTGGTCACGTTTGTGATCTCGAGCTGTGGGTTTGTGATCGCGAATCCCGAATTTACCACTCAACCTCCGATTTCATAGAGCAAACTTAGAAATACATTTCGCTAGTATCTAAATGTACATGTAAATTGCGAACATTCCACGTGTCGGTGCGCGTCACTCCCGTACTTATTGCGTACTTGCTAATTTTGCAATATATAATAATAAAATAACAGTGAGAAGCGTCGCGTGATAATTCTGTCGTCTCACACTGGATGTCTCAATTTTATAAAGCTTACTTCCAAGAAAGGTAACAAAAAAGTAATCATCTGCTATTTCTTTGATATTACTTTTAGATTTTGCAAAAGAAAAAAATCATATCTTGGAAAATGTCTTGACCCATGGGTCCTAATATCAGCAACTGAACTACTCATAAATGAACAGGCGCGGTTAATCAAAAAGAAAAACAGGAAACGTCAATGCTTAATTATGTACTTCATTACAGATTTTTTGTTAGAAGAGAAAGTCTTTGTGTGAAGTGTAATCTCTCTTCATCACGGGAATACAAGCAGTGCAGAGTTACGTGAAGTTATGGAGACAGTGCATGACATATTGAATTATCTTCGAATTTCCCATTGAAAAAGCATATAATAATTAGAAGTACGTTGATATATTAATTCATTGAAATCGTGTCTCTTTGTACTATTCCATACAGAATAATGACAAATATGGAGACATTCTATATAAATATCATCTTCACTATACCTGTAGTGATCACATCTATCACTTTGTGGTATTTTTACATAATCATTGGGAATGTTATTAAGTATAAAAATATGCAATAACTAGAAAAGCACTCATAGTGCAGACCTCTACCAATGTTTTCTCATTACTATTTAATCAATGACTGTACGGATTCTAAGTTAGCCCATTTCTGACATATCCATAATTTTTAATCAAAATCCATAATTTTTTTTAGTTATGCTGTGAAATAACAAAAAAAAAAATATAGATATATTCTCTATTCTCCGTGGCTGAGACAACAATAACATGATTGCCAGATCCAATTGTTCAAAAATGCAAATATTTTCTTTTAATGATCGCTCAAAGGTGTATGTAAATGTAAGTTAAACAAAATGTCAGGTGTAGAAAGATTACATTGCTTTGATTGTGTTCTGTGCTCAGTTAAACTAAAACCAAGTTAATAATCTGATATATATGTATGTATATGTGTAAATAGTATAGCATATAAATATAATAATATCAATAGCAACTAAATTTAACAAACAAAAATATGAAAATGCTAATATTCATAAAATAGATATCATCTGGAAAAAATCAACAAAATGAACAGGAACTTAAGTTAACAGAGAATCAGGGGAATGTATAAAGTCTTTCTGAAGGAAAAAGAAAAATTCCAAATATTTCACCAGTTCAATAAGGAAAAGGGATAAATATATACCAAAGCCAAACTGCTCTGAAACTCTAAATGTAAAAATAATCAAAAAATTAGATTGTTCTATCATATTAGGATCAATACAAAGCATGACAACATAAATGCAACTTAGTAGCAGCAAAGAGGTAATGCTTAAGACAACGGTTTTTTAAACTGAAAACTGTAAAATAAAATTGAGAACAGTTCAAGCAAATGGATTATTAATACTGTTATTTCCTGTAATTAAATTAGCGGAATTGGTTTTGGATGGTAAATTCCATTTCAAGTTTGCAATTCTATTCCTAATAATTAATTACCTTGAAAGTGAGCTCACTTTCTTAAAAGAACAGAGAACTTTCACATACTTGTACTTGTGAACAAAATGCAAAGAGTATTATCATGCCAAATGAATTTCTATGAAGTCCCTGCTATTCTCCTGAATTTTGAACTGCTATAACATAGGGTGGCTTTTCAAAGAGACAAGTTTCAGTATTGAATTGATTGGTCCATATATAATGATAACTATCAAACCTTGACTCTAAACTTGTTAGAAAACTAAAGCCACCAGAAAGAAGCTCCTTTCTATACCCCTTAGTGTTAGAAGCAATCTCTGGGGATTACAATTAAATTAATAAGAAAATGGTTTGTAAGTTCTATGCCCCAAAAAAACTAGCATTTTAATTTGTTTTAAAATACCCATAATTGTTTTTAGCTAACTTTACACAAATGGAAAGACTTGGTAGCTTCTCTTGAAACAATTAAATTACAATTCACTTAAGCTTGCATCTTATAAACATGCATTTTATTTACAAACAGAAAACCTAGTGCTTGGTAATTATTCAACTGATACCATTTCAAAGGACATTTCTTCCCATTCTTTTAATATTAGAAATCAAATATGTCCACACTCACAATGAAAATCACTTATACTGCTATATGTCCATCTTCCCATGCATTTAATGGAAGTCACACATGCCCTTTCGCTAAGACTGGAAACTAGGTTTTTTGTATAAATATATTGGGAACTGAACCTCCTCCCTGTTAATTATATTGGGAATCTCAGCCTGTTATGTTTAGCACAGATTCATACACAATAAGGCCATGCGGTATATATAGCATAGACTAGAACACTGTGCCACAGTTTAGTTGAATAATGAATGATCACATTTTACTATGATTGATGATATTATGCTGGGGATGCAGCAGTTAGTCCTGTGCATAGTTAACATATAAATGATACATTTAATTATAATGAAATATACAGTCCTCTTCTCTCTTCATATCGTCAAAACACCATTTCCAAATTGGAATATTCATAATTAGCTCCTAATTTCATGCAATTCAGTATTTTGAAATGCTTATGAATCCTTATCACTGATGTGCATGTTTGTTTGCCAAGGTAGGGAAAATAGTTAGATACTGTCTCTATTCATCCATCCATCAAAGCAGCAGTGCTGCCCTCTCTTGTCTTTTACTTTTACCATTAAGGTCTCCCGGCAGCATTCAACACCTGTTTGTACTGACCAATCAGCAAGGAAATTTCTCCACCCTAAACATCAAGATAAAAATATACTGTCATCAAATAATGACATATATGATATACTGTATACATCACCCCTTGTTTTAACATTACATTTTGAATAATTGACTACAAGATATGTAAGAATTACCATTTCATTTCTCTTTATTTTGTTTGCCTGTACTAAATGTTATTTTCAATTTACTTGCATTTCTCAGAGCACAACACTTTTGATGAAAAAAAAAGCACACAATAAAGTGTTTTTTTTTTTGGTCCCATGATAAACTTGGTAAGTGTATTTTACCTGGTCAGTCTCAACTCGCACAATTTTCTGTTGCATTAATGTTCCCACTTTCATGTCTAGGAAAGTGCCATTCTCAGACCAACGCCTGGTGGAAAGGATTTCACCAAAGGGGTAAGTGACCAGGATTTCCTATTTGGATTGAAAAAAATCTACATTTGGTACGAGCTGGAGTACGCTGTTTAGATAAATATATAGGTACATTCAGTACATGTTAATGTTGTTTACAGAAAACAAATTAATTCATAAAAAATCTTTGCTTCAATATTTCAACATCTATTGACAGTAGAACATAACCCGAGAAAAATTATATATATTTAAAAAAATAAAAGACTAGAAGACTTAAGCTTAAAAAATAAAGTGATGCCACATATACATGTACATGTAAGTATATATTGGCAATCAGACAAAAAACAAGATGCAATCAATATTTACGTGAGTTTTTTCATGAAGGAACTGCATTCCATTCCTATTGACTGCCAACATACACCTTCCTGGCACACGGTTATCAGTAACACTCTGGAACAGGTAAATATATACATCAGGTGTGCATATAGACATATCCATAAGTTCAGAAATGTTTCAGCTACAGCAATAACAAAAACCGTTTTAGAAAAGATCCATGAGATCTTATCAACCAAACTGACAAAACATAATTTCTCATAGATTCTTTATAAGATCTTCTTTGGAGGGTTTGGCAAACCAACTGACTTAACTGAATATACTGCATCTAGTCAACTTACATCTAGCATCTAAATCTAGACTGATCTAGCACTGCTTACCTTGATGTAGAAGAAAGTGGATCCAAACAATGCCCATCTTGAGATGTGCCCTAGAATTTAAAGAGCATACAAATACAGCACAACTTAATGCACTATACAAATAATGCCTCACAACTATAAGTACTGTACTGACTTGATCTTTTCATAAAAGAAAAAGTAAAAATCAATTTTGTAACATTTTCCCTGCTTTTACTGTATAGAACAGAACTATAAGGTAGCCTGCTTTTCAATTTTGTTACTAACTTTCTATGAGCATGTTTAATTTTAAGAATTTACGGCTATTATTTATGACAGTATCTGTAAAATTCACAATTTTCCCCACTGAGAAGACCAAGTTATTACCCTAGTTCTATATTTCTATTTTTTCAATAAAACTGCTAGTAGAAGTGAACCTAATTTTGCTGAAATCATCTATACATACACTGTAATATCAGAATTGACCAAGGACACAATACAGCAACAAATATATAGAAAATCTTATATTGGTTGTTGCAGTTGGACAGAGAGACCACAAAGTATTTTTACTTTATGATCCTAAAAATGTAATTCCCAAGTCCTGAAGGACCAGGCTGTGAAGCAATGACTCACAATGGCCTTATATTGTTGTAGTGGTAGAATTTTATTTTATTACTGTACATGTATGTGTGCAATAAGGTACAGAGCACACATCAAAATGACACAAAAATAAAATTAAACAAGGGTGCATAGTGACGAGCACCACATCTAGATCCAAGGACCTACAAAGCCCAAAATTCATGAGATTATATGTGACATGCATAAAAGAGATGGATATAGGGGCTCTTAGGAGGAAAAGTGGTAACTGTGATGTGGCGACGGAGCCAATGGAGCCAGCGGATGATACCTGTTGGGACTAAAACCACGTGTACTGCCAGTGCCGCGCTGGTGGTACAATTATTTGCACTTACCCAGGAAGGCCAACTTGGCGTCGGCTGGTCTCATATGCTGAACCTCCCTGGACTTGGTGTGGACAAGGTTGACCCACTGTTGGGGCCGCATCTCAGACCGCTGGTGGACAGTGGTAGGCAGGGATTCTTGGACATCTTTCCTGTATAAGAAATAAGACGTAGAACATTTAGACCTCATTTACATCTTCGTGTTTGTCATTCCCTTATACTGATTAAAATTTGAAGATTTTGCCTCTATCACTTCTCTTTCTCTACAAAAAGACTTTTTTTACCAATTCAAATTTGCCTTAATCTCCACTTGACATATATACCCATCATAGACTTAAATAAAACTACATATCATCCCTTGTGGCTATGTTTTCTCTGTCAGTCAGAAAAAAGTAGATACATTTATACTTACAGTGTTGGTAATTGCACTGCATCTTTAGCTCGGTGATGTAAAGCAGCTAGTCTACCAAGTTCCTCCTGCAATACAGTGACAGTCAAAATCCTATTTCTTTCTTTTGCATTGCAATAAATTGGGCATACATATATATATGATACTGAATGATACATGTTAGATGATATGATACTAAATGATACATGTTAGATGATATGATACTGAATGATACATGTTAGATAATATGATACTGAATGATACATGTTAGATGATATGATACTAAATGATACATGTTAGATGATATGATACTGAATGATACATGTTAGATGATATGATACTAAATGATACATGTTAGATGATATGATACTAAATGATACATGTTAGATGATATGATACTGAATGATACATGTTAGATGATATGATACTGAATGATACATGTTAGATGATATGATACTAAATGATACATGTTAGATGATATGATACTGAATGATACATGTTAGATGATATGATACTAAATGATACATGTTAGATGAAGTCACATGTCATATATACTGTATATGTAACATGTGTGCATCATTCAATAGCATAATATTTTTTAAATCAAATGACACTATAAAAGGCTTAAATGCCTATGACAAAAAAATTAACATTTGAAAAACCACATAAATGTAACAAGCAGTTAAAAAATCTTACAATTTGTTCAGGCATCAGCCGGTCTCCTCTTAGAACCAGTGGAAAACCATCAAAAAAGTCTGGCAAGGTCTGGTGGTACGTAATATCAATGTAGTTTTCAGACTGGCTGTCCATGTGGATTGGGAATACCCAGCTTGTTCGCTGGAACAGAAAGACGTACTTCTTCCTCTGTCGACTCAATTCTGTGGTGATGTCGAATATAAACTCATTCCTTTTCATTGGGACATACTCGTTTTCTGAAATACAGTTCACAAATATCTCCTATACTTTTACTGTACTTAAAGTTTTCTTTCATTAGGTTTAAAAAGAAAGGGTTATGCAGGATATGATACTATCTTACAAACTTTACCCTTAAATACACAAAAGAATCCACTGTAAAAAGATATCTATCACCTTTTTTATTATTTAATGTATTAAATTTTGTATATAACATTCGACAAGTAAGACAGAAAAGGTTTACCAATGAAGTTCTTATTTGTAAAAAATAAATATGAAAATGCTTCCCTTTCAATTAAAATGTGTCTTACCTTTCGTCAATACATATATCAAAGAGTATTCCTCCACTTCCAGAGGGTTTTCCAAGCCCAGTCTATAACACACATCCTCAATGACATCTTCTGCCAGCTAAAGTTAATGGTGACACATTCAGTAACAGTAGCAATGTCAAGGACAAAGACAGAAACATTAACAATGGGTGTCATACTGTTTGTAAATTAATTATCTATGCAGTTTCTCTTTACCTGAACATTATATCATCTCATAAAAGTCTCACTAAAAATTCTCTTACCGTGCATGGTCTGACATTGAGAACAATAGGAAGTATACCAGCCAACATACATTGCTGTCTCTTCGACACACGGCCATCCTAAAATATACAGAAAATAGGTGATGAAAAAGTGTACAATGCTTTGTATGATCCTTGTGATCCTATGTACCTGATTATACATGGTAATAGGAAGTTTTGAATCAAAAGGGGTATGGTGATCAAATAATTGAGATGTCCTATTGGTTGAAAGGTACAGGCAAGTTCAATAATAAAATGTGATATAGGCTTTAAAAATGGTTGGAAAACAATTATTCAAAAGTCTTCATAAAGATGATGAAGGAATTTGTTTATTTTCAGATTGAAACATAAAGCACAATTACACCTCAAATCAACTTACAGTAATTGCTTTGATCTCCTCTGCATCGGGTACATTTTTCCTCCCACCATACTTGACAGTTTTCCTAAAGTTCTGCACACATATGGAGGCAATTCCTGAAAGAAAGTAATTGAAAAACTATATACTTTTCACAATAAATGTTACAACATATATTATACCAAAGACCCAGTTAAACCAATCAAATCAGACGTCTTGGAAAAGATAACAGATTCAGAATATGTTTTCAAAATGGATAGTTTTACTGAACACTTTCATGTCTTTATTTTGGAGACAATAATCAGTTTCATTTTGCTTGAATTCATTGAGTAATAATAATCATCCATATACGTACCACAGTGAGTCCTGCTAGTGTCAAAGGCCACACTCTGTATATACTTGATCAAGTATGGTCTCAATGCATCAGTGCAGTCAAACCAAGCAGTCATTATAGAGAGCAGTCTCCAACCTTGTTGACAACTGTCACTGTTTGAAAAAACACAAAGTATCATAGCTTTATTAATCGATTATTCTGAACATGATGGTAAACTGTCACCAGCATTATTGGAAGCTGTACCTGCAGATGAAAAATGTAAATGTTGATACAAATTCTCAATTTTTGTTAATATGTCTACTTTTTTTAAGAGCTTCAAACAAAAACAGAGGTCTCGATCAATCTTCATTTTGTACTCTCGTCAGATGTTGGTCAATAAGCTGCATATAGTGATCCAAGATAAGAGATCCCATGAAGAAAAGTGTCCGGTACACTTACGGTTTACTGCTCTTGTTATTGGTGGTCTGTTTACAAATCTGACAGTAGACCTCATCCTTCAGGTCTGGGTGTGAATGACAGGCCATCAGCAGCTGGTTCACACAGTCCACTGGGGTCTTGTCTCGCGGCAGTGGATAATCACCCATATATTGCATCACAGCTGGAAGTTAAGTAATTCGCAATTAATAACAATAAAGAAGTCCAAAGTTACATCTCTCAAGGACTGTAATGTAGCACAAAAAATCCTAAGGAAAAACTAAACTTATCAATTGCAAAACTTTGTAACATTGCAACACATACATACTAACAGATATCATCATCATTTTCATTTGTTGTTAGACACACCCACCTATAAAACATTCCAAAGCCATCTTGTTGAACTGGGGAGTCTTGGCTTTCAGCAAGGAAGCTTGGATAGGGGACTGAAATTGAAGAAAAAAAAACACTGAAATAACTAAACGCAAACCGAAATTTCTTAAATATGGGTTCTTATGAGGATCTTTAAAGTGTCTCAAATCTATTTCTCTTCAATACCATCAAATTACCACTTAATAAGTCATTTGGTTATTAAGATAACCATGCTAATTAATTATTTGTATAAAATTCTTCTGTGTCTAAAAAATGCTGACCTTTGTCCATTTGACCATGTCAGCTTGTTCTTTCCACGTCCAGTCAAGACCTAAATAAAAAGAGCTGATTGAGTATGATTACTGTGAATGTTTCCAAAATATATCGATTCCACATCATATAAACTAAAAGAATAAAAAAAACTTCACACGTGCTGCTGAAACTACAGACTCATATCAAATTTAATTCATTCTGTATTTGTATCCTTGAAATAAAAAACAATTAAAACTTCCTTTGGTTTTATGTTTACAACACATTTACATAAGAATGACTGATAAAAGAAACACTACATTATTAGCTAAGGATGTTAGGAATGATATTTGGTTATAAGACAAAAATTATATCAAAATCTATTATTATAATGGTATGAAAGTCTAGACTATTATGATAACTTACAAATTTCCATTAAAAGAAATGCTACAAAATATCTCCAAATGACAGAAAGGGAATATCTTTACAGAAAATAATGTACTCAAAATACAAAAAAAAATTGAAATGGAACCAGTAAAAGAGCAAATTATTCCTACAAAACTGCAAAATAATTCAGACTGGTGTTGTCCTTCCAAATTTCTGTATTCTTTCTATAATAAGTTGTAAGTTTTACTAACTTTAATATTAAAAAACAAAATATTTAATTAATAAGTAAAGAGTATGATGATACATGCATTTTTATGGTATGCAGTGCAGTAAGGAAATCAGCACAAATGCATAGAATTTTAGATTCCATGCACTAATTGCAAAATATATTAAAACAATTATTTGGCCAATTTCAACACCATCATTATCAAAATGCCATGCTAAAAGTAATATACTAAAATTCATTGTTACTGGCAAAGAAAATGTTAACTAAGATGATTAATAAAAAGCCAAGCATGTTATGTTATCAGATCTTACCACCACCTCGTTTCTTGCGCAAGCTATGAGACTTGAGGTTTTCAAGCAATTTTAGGGTGCCTCGTATGGAGCCGTCATCAGAACGTAACATTTGATACCTTTAAGAAAATATTACATACAGTAAAGATGACATGCAGGAAGTTACAAGTTTTCCGGGCTAGTGCCTCTACTTGGTAGACTGAAGGCCTGTTCATATCTGTTAAAAAATTCTTAAGATGATTGGCATGCAAACTAAGCCTTTGCCTACTGAAATTACATATTTCAGCAAAAATCAATGACAGCAGGACTTAATTTAGATGGGTTCATTCAACCATGTCACATGACATCAAATTTCATGCCTGTGGTGTCATGTGGATACAAAAGATTATGATATATTGTGTACAGCTCAGTACAATTTTTTACTAAATTTTAGAACAATTCTCCCCTGGACAATTCTCCTCAAGGAAAATACATGGTGTTTTATTCATCATTTTGATGCATTTATGCATTTTTGAATATTTTAGTGAAATTTGCTAGTAGTGTGCAGGGGTGCTCATGTCTTGGCTTCATTCATTTTTACCAAATTAATGCTATCAAGGGTTAAGCATTGTTCAGGATAGAAATTATTTAACAAAGGTAAAAGTAAATTCAAAACAACTTCATATTACAATTTTTCTCCTTATTATAATTTCATTGCAGATGGAATATCAAGGGAGGGGGTTTGTCCAGGGAAGAGGAATTATCTGTGGCAATTGTCCCGATATGATACCATTTTACTATATACAATGGGGGAGCATATCAGGTGGAGCATAGGTAGCGAATGTGGTTCATGTCAGATCATATGACAGGGGATGCGTTTGTACCAATGGCACCTTACCGTTAGAAAACAATGTTTGCATATCCATTAGACAACATATTCCATTGAATGAGTGGGTCATTCTGGCTTAAATCTTGTTTACACTTTTATTTTTAAAGTTTGTTGTTGGTTGACTCAATCACTACAGAAAAAATGATTCTCAAAACTTCATGACTGCATCAATGAAGCTGCTGACTTGAAGGTCAAACAGTGTCGAGAATTCCATACAAAATATATTCATTTTTAATGGTGCATTTTTCTTTTTGACTAGTGTAAACAAAAATCAAGCTCAATGCATTTAGTCAATGGGGATATGAAAAGTTGATTAATGAAGGGAATAATTATTAGAATTAAATGCTGTTGGTTTAGAAGATGCATGGGTAAAATACAGACAGTAGAAATAGCTGATGGCAATTTAATGCTCATCAATTCTCCCATCAGTATCTCTCATTCACATTAATAATGGGAATTAGGCCTTAGTTTTTACCTTTCTTTAGTATGCCTGGTTTAGTAGCGGGACCAGATTTTCTAGGATATTTAAAATTTGTAAACAAAACTATTTATCAACTGATTCATTGAATATAAAAACACTACGACATGTAAAGTGACAACTATATCATAACTGTTACATGAAATGATCAAACAGAGACAAATGACTTTGAAGTCACAAAAAATGTTATCTATTCAAAGATCAAATTTGAAATCACTTGCTTTAAAATATAGAATGTAGTAGCCAATAATAATTTGTAAACAGCATTAAGTCCATTTAATTAATGAACACAACCTGAAGTCCACATACTTATTTTATCATTATATTACCAATACAACTTGTTCACACTTACTTATCAAGGGACTCTCTGAAGTGCATTATGGCAAACTCTAACATGGAGAAGCGCCCATCAGGCGGAGCACGCACACTGCCTAGGCTGCCATCGCTGGCATCATCTCTGCTTGTACTCTAAAACAGCAATGGAATCTCATTTCAGATGTGAATATGCTGGTGCATAAGGACACATGCATAAGGACACAAACCTAGCTCTATGAATTTCGACATTAATTTTTGTTTAAAAATTCTGAAAAAAAAAGTCCTGATTATTTCTGAATAATAGTAAAGAGCATAATTTCTTAAAGCTCACTTGGGTAAAGCCCATAAATTTATCAATATTTCACCCAATCAAATGTTTCACCAGACTTAATAAGCAAGCCTGTAGACTTCGTGTTTTTCTATCTCCATTTAATTCATATAAACATATATACTACATGCACAAGCATCTTGGCAACTGTTTTTATAAAATCATGAGCATTTGATCTAAGAACAGAGCAAGTTTGCCTCCTCACCCTCTGTATACTTGGCTGTCTCTGAATAGGTGGCGCTGGAGCAGGTGGCTGGAACAAGAAAAGATTTATTATTTTGTGTACAATATTTGAAAGTCAGTCTACTTTGTGCATTTTTAAATGCAATCTTTCCATCTCTAATTGTCTCAATATCAATGAGATGAATAATAGTTAAGAAAGAAAAGTAGCTTTTCACAATGAAGAATCGAGTGAGTTTCATAGATACAGATCCAAATATAAGTAAAAAACTGCTCTAGCTCTCAAAAACTGTACACTCAAGGAGTTGCTGATCTGTACCCATTTTACTGAGACTTCTAAGGAACACACCTTCAGGTTGAGACTTCCAGTTCTTTTGAGTTCATTCCTACTGACTGGTATGACATATTCCACTGGGAACATGCCACTGCGGCTGTTAATACTACCATATAACCAGCCTGAAACAAAGAAATAATAACCCTCAGATATCTGCATTATATGACAGAGCAAACTAAAATCGTTTTTTTTTGGCAGTGATTGTGATAAGGAAGATAAAGGTTGAGACTATATTGCTATATATGTGACTGATGTGACTAATGTAAACTCATGGTGAAAATCATGTTTTATAACATTACCTATATCACTTACTATTCAGTGCAAATATCATTACCTAAGCAGTAAATCCAATCATGACAATATTCATCCATTGAACTATATGACTTGGCTCAAGTTTCAGAGCTAGCAAAGAACTGCTTTTTCATTTTCAAATTTCCTTACAGACCCACTTGTTGCATCTGAACTTCAACAGCATTTAATTGAAGTCCATCACTCAAGTCACCAATGTCAGATGGGTAAATTACCTGTGTCACATACCCTTCCAAGTCTGGTCCATAAAATGAACATTTGTGATTGGCGGGGTAAACTTCTATCAAACATGCTGCTTCAAGAAGCAGTCCGATAAAAAATTGCTGGCAAAAAGGAATCAAACATGGGAATATTTTTCACACAACTTTAGAGCAAACAAACAAACCTTTGGAAAGATGCACATCTTTGGTGCTAAGTTTGATGTAATCTCCCTTTTTAAAGCTCAATAGAGTGGACTCATGGGTGACATAGTCCTTGATTGCACGTACATAGCTATTGCCCTGAAAAAAAAAAACAAAACATACTAAATCAGGACGCTTATGGTATATTCTTGCTAGTTCTGAACAGCTAAAAATACCTTATGTTTTCAAAAATACTGCTTGTATATTAATAATAAAAGTTTTATTAGTAGATTAAATTGATTTAATGGAATTGAATTTGAGCCAGACATTAATTTTTTATTCAAGTAATAAGTAAACTTTATTTTTCATCCGTACATATTAAAACAATAAAACATATGCTCTACAATAACTGAGCCTTTGGAACAATGGATAAGAGTAACAACATCAAAAAAACTTACATATTCACTTTCAATGCAGAAAGCATTGATCATGTGACGGATTTGATTTGCCTAAAAACAGAAAGCAAATGCTATAAGTACTACATATGTTATTACAGTTACACAAACAGAAATACAAATCTAGGATATATATATATGACTTAATCAATAATTTTTTCAATATTTTGAAAAAAAAATCTATTCATAACTTGGAGACAAATGTAGGCCAAATTGGGCAATAAGATTCAACCATTTTCTGTCCCAAGAATTAAATTCTGGTACAAGAGAAGTATCATTAGTGCATCTATATTTGTGTGAAGGTCAATCAGGTTGATAAATACCCGATGAGTATACAGGATCAGCCATCGCCCCCTGATATTCAACTGTAGTGTGCTGCCACGAGGAACACTCACTTCTACAATGTCTTCATACCTAGAAACATTTGAAATTATAATTATATGCAGAGTGTTTATTACAATCAACATATTACAGTTAACATTTTGACTTTGGCCAACTGAACAAAATAATTATAAACCAAACAACTTGATATAAAAAGCCATTATAATTTGACAGAAGTCATCAGACACTACCTACCTAAAATGTTCAATGACTTCCAGGCTATCCACAAAGATTCCTTTGACCCTCTTGACCAGCCTGACCCCAGAGTGACCAACAGCAAGGAGCTGAACACTGGGCATACGGTGACCACCCTGAGAAAGAGACAAAAATATGCTGTAATGACTCCATCTTTCCAATGAGAAAAAATAGTAAATTTTACAGATACTGTACATTTCAAGTCATACATTCTTAGAGTTCAAACAATCCCTGGTACAACAAGACTGGACAGCAGGCTATATTACAGTTCCATTCTATGCATTAGAAGCACTACAAATGATTTAAAGAGATATAATTTTTATGATTTAAAAATTATATTTCTGCAGGATTGATAATATTTCCCCACTGAAAATATCTGAGTTATCAAGTAATCAAGTGTTGAAGATGCACCTATTTTGAGGTAAATAAAACTATTTACTTTTTAATTACATGTCCATGCTTAAAAGGTCAAAGTTACCATCACATTGACAATTTATATCATTCACAATGTTTCCCATTGATTTGTGTTAAATCAGCAATAAATACAATTAAATAAATGTGAGACAACACACAACAAATTACGCTCCTAATTAATGACATGCAATACTGAAATCACCTTTACAAAATCACTATGCCACTTTACGTGTTGACAATTCAATTGCAACATAATCAAATAAAAAGTGTTCCATTCAACGATCTATAATTGTACTTACTAATATCATAGGAATGATAATGTAGACTTAAATTTAATTATCAAAGCAAATGATTTCCTTATTATTATCTAAAGTAAAGAATTTGCCTTTTATTTTAATTTTTATTGGCATTCTGAAACAAGCAACCCTTAGGGTAAGAAGCATTTGTCTAAATTGCATGAAAACATCAAACTTTGCAGAAGCAAGAGTAGGGGGTGCGATGGCTAGCATAAAAACTGACCAGTCTTCCTCTGGCATTCATGGTGCCACTAAACTGTTTTGCCAGAAAATAAAAAAAATCCTTTATTTAATGGCATATTCAAATACAAATCAAACACAGCACAACAAGTTAAAAACTTAGTTTATAAGCTATGGCATATGTCTATAATGTCTAAATATCAAAGTGGTCCATTTGTCAAGAGTGCACTTTACTGTTAGAAAACATTAGACATGGGCTCTATTCCCATAGATTTTAGATCAATCTATCCCCGCGGGGAGTCTCACTAGATTACTTTCAGATAATCTGACTTAAATGTCCATCCCGCCTACTACAAGCTGTAGAGGGGGTAATTAACTTTCGTGTCTGCCCGCCTGACAGCTATTTAGCGTGAACCCCCAGGGAGTTAGGTCGATCTAAAGTAGGTCGATCTAATCTATGGAAATGGGGTGATGGAGTCTCAAGTATGCTTCTACTTTAAACTATTTTAAAACCATTATGCATGCCCTTATTTCAGGAGGCAAAGAGGCCAAGAATATTATCAACTCTGTGAGAGTGACCGGACTTTGTCAAAGAAAATAATAATTTGGGGTACCATAGCCAATCTAAAATTTATTTCACCTCTTCAATAATACATGTAGTTCTCTAGATTATTCTCATCTCAGCAAGCAAACCAAGATGGAGTCGGTATACTTACAGAGACAGGAAAGAGCCTGGAGAAATAAAGAGGCCAGTCCCTGGCCGAGTCTACCACATTTTTCTTCACATGGCTCTTGTGGCTGGTGGAGGTCATGTTTTCTAGGGTAATACCATAACCACCTGCAAATAATCAACGCCAAAGACACATGGTCACATTGCCACTAAATGCACAACTTTATTACAGTGTATATCTAGGGCACACATAATTTGGTCTGTTGCCCTTGTAATCTTTTCCCTTACTGTAACAGTATAATTTAGGAATTATTTGGCATGTAAAGTGCATGATATACTAAAAACTAAAATGCAAGATATTTTGTGAAAACAATCATACAAATAACATATTTTTGGTGTATGGCAATATTTACCACACATAACTGAATTTTGAGATTTTAAACTACCAAAGTGAAAAATGAAAACTTTTATATGTCCATTAATCTGACTAGTTAAAGGAAACAATGGCCTACCAAGAATGGCTTTCATCTTGTTCTTCTCATCCTTGTTTATTCTAATGCAGGCATCATTGTGAATATCTATTACAATCTGACAGAACACTAGAGTCACCAGGGCAGGGTTTTCTAACTTCTCATTGGGAGAGAACACCTGGAAAACCATTGGATCTAATGCAGTTCTGAGGTAGCAGTAAAGAAATGTTTACAAATGCAAAATCTTTTAAATTATATAGGATATTTCATATCTAGACACAATATCCACGTTGAAAGTTTCTCGTATTATGCATCAAATTCAGTATTAGCATATCAGTGGTCATGTAATCCAGATTTCTTACCTCCTTCCTAACATGGAGTTGCCATGGTACCCTGGTGTAGCAGTAAAATGGGTTCTTTATTTGTTCAAACAGAACTGTGTTGATTTCTTCCAGCTCGCGATCAGTAACCAAATGGACATCCAAGGCAGGACTGGGGGCTGCAATGACAAAAGTGAGTATTTATATATAACTTACATTGTAGTTAAGTAGCAGTTAAGTGTCGTGCAGCCAAGGGTATATATGCTTATTTGAACTTGCCACAATATTTAATATATACTACCAGTAAGTTAAAAAGATGCATGTGTTTTCTAAGCACTGTTTTTCAGATATGGCCAACCTATAGCAAAAAATTTCTATTTTCTAGATTTCCACACTCACCATCTTTGACTTTGGGTGTTGGTGTTAGTGTTACGGGGGGTGCCACTGGGGGTGGGGGTGGCTGAGCCTTGGGTGCTGGTGGCGGGGGTGGTGCTTGGGTCAGGGAAGGGGTCTGGACACTGACCCCGGCATCAACTTTGTCCACCCCTCTGGGGACAAACTGTTTTTCCAGCAACTTGATCTTTTCTTCCATAGAGGACACCCTGGACCTCAGCTTAGGGGTGTCCTTGGAGGATTTGGGGGTCTCTGTTGGTTCCTGATCAAAGATGAAGGATCTTGTGTCTTAATTTTGAATTCCCATTGAAATGGTAGTAACCTTGTTTAACTGTAAATTAGTTATTTCTTTGTCTTCCTATCATATGTATTTTGGGGATAAATACCTGAATACCTTTTAACTTGAGAATTTGTCATGACTTTAACAGGTTCCTTTATTGTCAAAAATTAGATATTTTGTTAAAAATTACTACATTATTTGAAAACATACCCTAAAGATATTGATAGAAGTCAATGCTTGAATTAAAATTTTATTAATTCTTAATGCTTTATTCCTTTTTTACATTTGTTGAGGAGGTGATCACCAACCTTTGGCCCTTTTGGCTTTGATTCATCCTTCTCCTTATTCATTGACTTAATCACTGCCATAGCATGCGCATGTGCATCTGCTCTAGATCTGGCCTGTTTTAAAGAACTAGACTTGTGCTCTTCTATCCATAGTCTACCAATCTTTTTCTCTTCTTTCTGTGATTCCATCCTTGGAGGTGGCCATCGTACTCGCCCAATGCGAACTGTTTTAGCTCTCCCATCTGTTGGTTCGTCACTCACTGTACTGGTGTATGTTGTTACGTTTTCTCTTTCTACATCCCATCCTGACTGCACTGGCGGTGACTGTGGCTCCACCACTGGTGGTGTTGAAGGTGCTGCTGGTGGTGCTAGTGGTGGTGACTGCAGTGCAGGTGGTGGTGGTGGTGGTGGTGGTGGCGGTGGTATCACTAAGGGCTGAATGGAAGATGTAGATGCCACAGGAACATGCCGCTGGCGCATACGTGGTGACCCAGGTACAGCTGGAGGTGGTGCTGCACCATCACCATCATCCTCTTCTTCCTGTATTGAATCTCTTGGAATCTGCTGGACATCCTCAGAAAACTTCACTCCTCGTGAGGCAGCACCAGCAGGTGTACGCCCTGTGATGCTAACTTGTGTCTTGGGCGGCCCTGGTGCAGGTCGCTTTTTCTCAAACTGTGCCCTGACTCCTCGGACTCCTGGCCCTACTCCCTGGGCAGATGTGCTGGGCTGTGGCTCCAAGTTAAATGGTGCAGGTGCTGGTGGTGGCGCTGCACCCAGGTGTAAGCCAGTTGGCTGCCCTGTGGTGCCCGAACCCTGCGACTAAATGAAAAGAAATATTTATTTAATTGAATTTTCATGGAAAGAAAAGTAAATTTAAAAAGAAACAGTTGAACAAGATGATATTTGACCATAATCAATAACATATTATTAAAACTCCAATCAATGGGCATACAGTCTTTTAGTCTGGCAAAGTTGTTACAACTATCAAGCAATCAAACAAAGCAATGGGTTTAAAGGCAGGAGAAAAAAGCTGATAATAGAAAAAAATTTTTAAAAAGGTTAGGATTCACCACCTGCAGCTGCCGTAACTGCTGCTTCAGCATTTCCTGCTGCACACTTTGTGAGAGAAGCTGGTTTTGTAGGTAGGTTTGCTGAAGAGAGGCTTGGAGAGTGGCTTGTTGCTGCTGCTGTGCTGCCATCTGTTGTAATGCGACCTGCTGTTGTTGCTGCTGCTGCTGTGCTAACTGCTGCAGTAGAAGTTGCTGTGTTGGGTCTACTCCTAACAATGAAAAAAAATTAAACGTTTGTGTAATTGGATTTGAATGCCAATGTGACAATAAATGCTTATTCTTAAACATCATGCTATATTTGATTATACAACTCAGCCACTAAATTTGAAATAAATAGAAAATGTTACCATTCAAAAACTCTTAATTTCATCCCAAACACCACAGATAATCATAACCAACCTAAGCCAAGTCCTGCGTTAAGATTTCCTGCTAAGCCTGGATTTAAGCCGATGCCTGCACCATAACCAAGTCCTGGGTTTAGGCTGAGGCCAGGGTTTAGGCCAAGGCCAGGGTTCAGGCCAGCTGCTCCCAGACCTAGGCCAGGATTGAGGCCTAACCCAGGGTTGATACCACCAAGACCATAGCCTGGTGCCATGCCAACATTGCCTATTCCACCTGGGGCCACCTGGGGCTGAAAAATATTAAAAATTTCATGTCAACACTAAGGTAAGAACAGCTCTTTTGACATTGTATTATAAAATATTTTGAACACTGCAAGCGTAACTCAACCAACATCAGATACCCAAATAAACATCTTAGAAAATGAAACATTATTTTCAATTTTAGAATAAAATGTCTACTTTCCTACCTGAGTCTGTACATCGCCAAGGCCATCTCCTCCACCTTTCAGTGCCCTCTCCAGTGTCCGCGGGTTACTCAGGGCATCCACATCACCCAAAGCCTCCTCAAACATGTTATCCAGCCAGCAGTCCAATTCAGTAGATGGGCTGATAGGCCCATTGTTGCTGGTGGCTCCCCCTTTTATTACCCTAGCCACTGACTGAACATCACTGAGGTTATCAATACTGGAGCTTTCTAGTACTTTATCAAACACACGGTCCAGCCAGCGGTCCATGTCATCTGTTGGTACAGTAACCTGGGTGCCAGCGCCTTCAGAGATATCAGACATGGCCGAGCTAAAGCGTGGGTGTTTCAGAATGAGTTCTGTCATTGTGGGGTCGAGGCCGCGGGTTTGTGCGACCTGCCTGGCACGTTTCATGTATCTAGAATTCAATTTACTGGAGGACAGGCCCATGTCGTTATTGTTCTCCTCCTCAACGTCCCCATTTACTCCATGTCCATTTGGAATATGTCCGTTCCCATTGGGCAGGCCATTGGGGAGACCATTTGGTAAGCCATTTGGTATAGGAGGGGGTGGAGGTGGTGCTTTACCATGTGGAGGTACAGGGGGTGGGGGAGGAGGGGGAGGGGGGTGGGGGTCTCGTTGGAGAGCGAGGAGGAGATGGTGTTGTGGTCTCTTTCTGTGAAGGTCTTCTCACGACCTTTGATCCCACCAAGTACCTCTGATTCAGTCTTGATGCAGCTAGTGGCACATCATCAGGGGCAGAGTCTGGCTCATCCCGTGGTGGACTCCTCTCCATATCTGGAGGTGGTGTGTGCACTTGGGCATTTGTGTAGCGTCTATTCAGAGCACTAGCAGCAGCTAAACTGGGCTCGTTTGCTCTAACTTGTGTAGGTCTCCTATTCAAAACACTTGTTCTGGACAGGCCGATTTCCTTTTCAGCTGGCATTGCTGTTTTGGTGGAGTGCTCTCTGCGTGGAGGAAGAACAGGAGGTTGCTCTGGTATCTCCACTTCCAATGGTTCCTCACGAATAGGACTTGGAGGACGTGGTCGTCGCACTTGTGGAGGTGGAGGCGGAGGTGTGGGCTCTGGGGGTGGAGGTGGAAGGTTCTGGGGTATAGGTTCTGTCAGCTCCTCAACTTCTATGTCTATTCTTCTGTCATAGTCTGTATTGTGAGGCCTGCAAATGAAGAGAATAGTAAAAAGAAAAAGTATTCTAGTCTACATACCAATTTTTATTTGACAATTAAGTAAAGTAAAAATATCAATTCAGCTGAGATTTTGTGGAAAATATAACACAGACTTCATTCATCCCAGCTAGCAAATATTTTGAAATAGCCAACATTCAAAATAACAGTTTTTCTTAACAACAACATATCAAAGATTACTAACGTTCCAGCAAACACTGCTTTTCTCGCTGGTGACACTGCTTTGGATCGATCAGTGGACACCAAGAAGAAAGACTTGCACACTGGGAAGGCTGGTGGAATCTCCATCTCACTGACTATGTCCAGTACATAGTCGTGCCCAGCCAACTCGTACTGCTCATTCTCATCTTGTAATATTAATGTCCAGCCATGGTTCCCATCTGTTATGTGTCTAGAATAAATTTGAGGCAAAATCAGTCAAAAAATATCAATCAAAATTATTAAGCTTAAAAACCTATTGTAATATTTTAAAATCCTAAAAATCTTTAAGTTGGCATATGAAAATTAAACACATCTAATAATTTTTATTATTTATCCAGCTCAAAAAGTTTTATATTAGTTGCTCATATTACCAGTTATAATTGCTTTAAAACATGCCAAAGGATATATTTCAAAATCTCATTCTTATCGCAATAAATATTTAGAAATATTTTCAACTTACCTCCCAGATCTGAGTAGGCTGCAGACAAATTCTTCAGATGTGGTCCATGAGTCTACATGCCCTATCATGTATTGTCCTAGTAAATGGAGGAAGATATGAATTATGGCACAAAAGTCCAATTTCACAAAACAACTAGCATGGATCAAAATCTTTACACATGTATTTTCAGATTCCCCTAGAAAATTCCATTACCTAAGTTTTTTATCACAAGATTATATCTTGTATCTCTTTAAAAATGGGTTTTTTACAAAAACAAAAAGCAACAAACCATCTTTTTATCATTCACTCATTCTGGGATGAGGATGGGATTGCATTGTTTTCTTGTTTCCAACTATTTGTCAGATCTTATCCAATGTATGTATTTTTAAAGTTTACAATTCTCTTCTACATCCAGTGTAATGAAGAAACTGACCATCAGCAAACTTGACCTCCAGGGCCATATTGGTTTTCTTCTTGGTGGCCTTCCACTCCAGCATGCAGGGTGGGTAGTACCTGCAGACCAGGGGCTCAATATCAATACACTGGAGCAGTTTGGACTGACAGAATGCCTTGTAACCATTGTAAGCATTGTCAGACACATACCTGTGATTACAAAAAAAGATATATTAAAACTAGTGGCAGATATTGTGGCTGTCTTCAGGGTCTCCCAGAAAACCATCAGGTTTTCAAGTTTACATTAACAGGTATTAAAGTTTTCTGTCAGAAGACTGTCAAAAATGGAGGATGGATCAACAGAGATCAGCTGGGAGACTGTAAGAAAATATCTCTGGAACGGCCTCTGAAAACTATATTCTATGTCCATCATCATGTCTCAGTAAAAGCGTTATGTGATGCCATATCCTGATGAAGGCTGCATACACAGTAATTACTGCTTTATTAGTTAAAGTGGAATACCTAGTTGGCAATCCAGACGACACTTACTTGAGTAAGTACTTAGACAAATTGGGACTTGGAGGAAAACAACTCAGACAGTTGGCCATGAGCAGCCAGCCTCTTTCTGAATTTGCATGGCTTGGGTTCCTCCATGTTTGATTGCAGAGCTGACTGTATATCTCGTCTCGAAGTTGCAGATTTATCAGGCCCTGAATTTAAGACAGGATTTACTCCATTTGAATAAGATTGGTTAGATATAGGAGATTCTAATTAACATCCAAATGGCCTAGGAGTCATATTTGTCATTAAGGCATTACTTCGACAAAAAGTTTCCACAAACAATTTATAACAGAGTTCCATTGGCACATGAATACGTACAGTATGTGACATGATAAAAAAGTATGAAACAGGACTGTCTTTATTAAGTTATAAAAAGGTAAAACAGCTCACCTTCTGGACAATATAATCAGCAAGAACACACTCTCTTCTTTCTGACAGATTGACATCATTCATAAATCTCAAGATCTGAAAAAAAAATTTTTTTTTCTATTCTGCAAATGAATATTCAAATTTTCACATATTGATGTCTGAATACATGCAGTAAACTTAAAGTTTTATATTTGTCTTTATGTTGCAATTTTGTTATTAGTTTTAATTCTTAGCCAATCAAAAACTCAAGTCCAGAAATCTGCCAAACTCCAACTGTAAATGATTTAATTTTGATAACTACATTAGAAGAACATGTAAGAGATGAAAGGCACTGAAAGACCATAAGAAATTTCCTACTTTCTTAATCATACATTTAATTTCCTCAGTGGGTTAAAATAAGTCATTATGATGTTTATTTTGAGGTATACCAGTTTGAAAATTGCCATGGAATCCTTGATGTCCACATCAGATGACTTGGGAAGAAATGGTGATTTGATGGGTTCTTTCCTCATGCCCCATCCATAGTCCTGCAATATGGAATAATTTCTTATCAGTTCATTTCTTCAAATGTCTTTTTACTCCTCACCAAACAGTTGAGCATTGCTTCAGAGATTATAACGAAGAATATTAGGCCAATATATCATATTGCATACATTTGTTACTTTTATACTCACTAAACAGTACCTATTCTTATGTTTAAAAATGCTACAACTAATGATGTATTTAATGTAATTTGCAAAAATTGTCTGACAGCGATTTTTCATGTTTCCAATGCTAAGTTATTCGCATCAAAACATTTATTGCACACATGCACATTAGTGCCCTCCTGTACTGCGGCACATGTACACACCTGTACACATAATAAACAAAATGACACACCTGGCACATACTCTGTTAAGATATCAGACCTTCACTACTTTACCTTAAAGTAAGCCTTGGTATACTTGGTGAAGACAAAGGAATTGATGTCATCAGGAAGTGAAAACTGGAAGTTCATTGGCTCCACATGCCCCACTACTTTGATCAGGTTCCTGTCAGTATGCAGTGGTTGCCATCCTATTCAAGATATAGAGCAAATATCACTGACATGTTTAAATAATGCTCATCAAATAACATCTCATAAAAATAGGCATTCTGATAACTTTCTGTACAGAACCAACAATGGCTCATCAGCAGGTGGGACAACAATGAAAATTTAACAGGTTAAGTTAATTGTCAATCTCAAGTATTGAAGACCTTGTTAGATTTCATTACAAGTTCATTTAATACAGGTCTGGATATAATTCACATATCTTAAGTACAAAGAAAGAAGAGGTATTTTCACCATCTAACTTGCTAAAGATGAAGGCCAGCTCTGGTGGGATTTCCAGATGGGCCACTCCTGCCACTGCTCGGGCAGAACGTTCCTGAAACACGTCATCCAATATAAGACACTTTGGACACATTGACTGAATAATGATGCTTGTGTCGACTTAAATCTAACATCCCTTTTCTTACAAACCTCATCTGTTTACTATGGTAATTTCTCACTAAACCTTTACAAAATTTATAACCATATATTTCATAAAACATATTTTCTTTTGCCCATAAAATGGATACAGACTTTCTTAATTTTATAATGATTTCATGTCAGAATTATTTTTTAGATTTACAATGGGAAATCTTGAACTTGTTAAATGTCTGGATAACATGAGGTCTTAAAAATTGTGTAATTACTGCAATAATCTAACAAAATAACTTGTTTCCATAAGAAAAATTAAACTTGAAAATAGTGTACTGAATTTCATATGCTGTATTTAATAATAAATAGATTTTTATGGCACAAGTATATGCAAGTAATTCTGACCTTTTTACCTATTCTTTGTTATACAATTTCTTTATGTATTTTTAAGTATTATTTAAAAGGTGCACAAAAACTTATAATAATTCCATATTCATATTATTTCATATTCTAAGTTTTATTTCTTATCGCATCAGAAGTTTGCTAAATATCATGTATTTATATCCGATTCAACTCTTCCTGTGAATTGGTAGATTTACTGTTCATTGACATACTTCTTCCTCCTCAAGTTGTCCCTGCTGCCGCCTAATGGGATCAGATGCTGACGGATAACTAGTAATCTTCTGAAGAGACAGTAATGTAATAACTCTTCTTGGCACAACTGAATGGGCTTTTTCATTTATGACAAGTTTACTTATAGTCCTTCACCGTACAAATGTATTTTCACAAAAGGGGATGGTTGCCTAGGTCTTATGCAGCAGTATGGTATTGTTTTCAGTTCTTGTTAGTCTCTCCCTACAACCCAACATGCAGTGTTCTCCACACTCAAAAGCAATGCAGGACATGCTGCATATCTGTGATGCCATCAGCTTGAACTTCTTAACTGTATATATTAATTTTGCTTTTGCGAAGTGTTACTTTGTAATGTTTGTGTGAGGCTTTTGAGTATTTAGCAATTTTGCCTGATCATGCACCCTAGCTAATTCCAGTTACTAAAGCAATGTTATCCAATGCAAAAATAAAACTAAAACAGGAAAATCAACCCTTGACTGATATAAATGTAATATATACAGTTCTTCAATCTTTCATGCAACATAATCTAAAATATCATTATCTCACATCAAAAATTTAGATGTCCCAATGTCTAGATTAATAAATGTTGCTACAGTGTAGAATTATTAGATCCATGCATTCTATATACCAAAACTCTTATGGCAGTAAGTCACTAAATTCCAACAAAGCTGTTTGTTTCCCCAAGCAATACTTTGTTTGCCATACTGAAGAATAATTTCAATTAGTTGGGTTCTTGTCAGAAAATATGTTTTATTTAATAATTAATGAAAATAAATTTGAAAAAAAAAGATAATCCTGTAAATTAGGTGTTTGAATTATGTGAGTAAATACCATAGTGTTACAATATCTACTTTATGTCAATGTTACTTAATATCTCTGTCGCTATCAAATCACACACAGGAAATAAATAATCTAAACTGTGCAAAAACTGATACAAAAGAATGAAATAAAAGACACAAACTATAAAGAAATCTAGAAGCATGCATTGTGCTTTGATAAATCAAAACTATGATTAACCTTTATCTTGTTTCAAATCTTGGCACTAATAATGTGCATAAGGAAATATTTCTTACTTACGGAGTTATTTAAAGAATTATAATCACTGATGAAAACATTGTCAACAAATCAAAAAAAAATATCTTACTAAATTGGCAGTGCCTTGCACAATTATATATGAATTAAAAATGCTCTTCTAATTAAAACTACATTTACATTACCAAGACTTAAAACATAAATCATACTGTTGAAGGTACTATCAATAAATAAAAACATTGGGTGTAAGCCATCAAAACTTCTACCTTTTCAATCTTTTCCTTTGCCATTTTGATTTTCCGTTGCTCTTCTTGCTTCTTATGTTTATGGTCTGCAAGCATCTGAAATACAAAATATCATCTGTGCCATAATTACTGAGAAAAAAAAACTGAAAATATATATTGTGGAATTTTGTAATCTATGATATTTTTGTGGCATGATAATAAGTCAGGTTCCACATTTTTCTAGAAAACACAACCACTGGAGGAGCCTACTAAAAACAAGAATCAAAATCCTTATGTCAAGCATTTGCTTTAAATACAGTGGATTAAATAGATCCAATGCCAAAATATTGCAAGAGAAAATCTGTCTCATTTAACATTCAGTTACAGTTCTCAATCTGTCCTAGAACATAATGTTTTCTCTTTTAAAGAAACATATTCTTAATCTGTTCTAGGACATTTTGAAGGAATTCCCAAAAATAGTTCTCGATCTGTTATATTCATCACAGAACAACATTAGAACTGTAAAAAAATACACCAAATGTTCTAGAATAGATTGAGAACCGTTAGTGAACATTAAATGAGACAAATTTTCACAGGGGATATCACTCACGGCCAGGTATCTTTTCCTCTGCAGTCTCATGCGATACTGCGCCTGTGCCTTTATTATGCCCTTTCGCAGGATACGGTATCGCGTTCTGCAAAGACAACGAATTTTGCTTTCAATTTCAAATAACTGCAATATCTACAAGTTATTCTTTATAAACTAAAAAAAGAAAATGCAATAATCTAAACTCTGCACACGTTCAATTCCAAGAATTTAAGGTGCATCTGACCTACTTACACATTAGATGGCAATTTTGTTCAAATAGCACTGTAAGTGATACCATGTTCACCCAATTATTCTGCCTTGTGGATGAAAAAAATAATATGACCTTAAACTTCAGAAATAGAGATTAAGGTACTTCCATCTGATCAGATTACTAAAGTAAAGCCTAGACCCTTACGTTACCTATGTACAGCACATTCCAAATTATACACCACATACAAGATATACATGCAACAATGATTCCATTCTTGATATTTGTAAAGATGCAGGGTATACAATATCAGGTTAGAGATAAATATTGTTGTTTTTCATGCAATGCATCAATATAACAATATCATGGCCAGTGAAGGTAAACCTACCTAAAACGTGACTGACCTAAACAATTAATTTGTTAAACTTTTATTCTGATAGTCTCATATTCATCTTATAACATAAAATGACCAAAATTGTCCTGAAAAATTAAACTCCCAACTTCTTTATAACGTTTGAAAAAAGTTTAATAACAATATCAATAGTATACCAAGCTATAATGTTCCTTAATACACTGCTGTCCATTATATATGAATTAATGATTCGGAAAAGAAAAACATAATTTTCATATTATAAAAATATCAAGCACAGACTCCATTTCCTCTGCAAATGCTAACTCAATGGCTACAAAGAGTAGTTTGTGCTTTTAAAAATAGCAAATTGGCATTTCTTTTATCATGGAGTTAACCGAAAAAAAAGCTTGCCACACTTTTCAATTAGTTGAGAGGCACTAAAGTAAAGTGAGCCCAAAACACATCATTAAAAATATAACCAAAATTCCCAGCATGCATACCTGTTCATCCATGCACGGAGGTGTGCCTGCAGTCTGACTGCAGCCACACGCATTTTCATGTACCTTCTCCGACATAAGTAACCACGCACATATCGCTGGAGTTTCAGCACAGAGGCAGCAAGTTTCTCATGGCGCAGTGCCTCCATATGCTGACTGAAGGACTCCCGCATAAAAACCTGTTGAATATAAAAGAAAATTACTGACCTGCACTAAGAAAAAATTCACACTCTTAAATCTATGAATTGAACAGATTTTGTTATACTGGTTAAAAAAAATTAACACACAAACTCATTTTGGCCATTTTAGAAAATGGTAAGATACAATTTTAATTTGCCATAAATTTTCTTCCATGCAAGATATATAAATATATGTGATACCTTCATCCAACCAAGATGTTTTCTGTGACAAAAATGTGTGAATATACTGGTACGAAGCTGTCTTTACCTTGGAAAGTCCTAGCTGATATTTTTCTACTTCCATAGCTCTGGTCTCCAACAATATCAGCTCACACTTTCCTCTGTGGTCCACGTTGACTGGGATTTTCCTGTGATCTATTAGGCACCAGTACCTACACGTGTATCAAGTTATTATCATAATATCAGAGTGCCTGCATAGTGCCACACCCACCCTCTCATACACACTCTCCATTCCCTATCTGTAAGTGTCTATTGCTAAAAGCTCACTTTACATACATTTGTGTTTCCAACAAGTGCCTAATTTTTTAAAAAAAAACTAAATCAAAATTTTCAGCTGACTTGATAAAAGGAAATGACCATCCCAAATCTATGACCTTAAAAACTATCATGACAAAATATGAAAACTGTGAAATGAAAGTGAAAGTCTTTATATAAATAAATTTACCTTTCATAGAACATGGAGAAGCGCATACGTGCAGGATACCCCAGCTTGCGAATGCGTATAGTCTCGAGCATGCCCGTGTACCTCAGCTGCGACAGTACCACCGGGATGTCAAACTGCATGGCAGCCTTGGTATTGTTTGGTTTGATGCAGCGTATGAAGAATGGATTGCACCTAGTTTAAACATAACATATACAATTGTTGTCAAATGAAAATGTGTATATAACCTAATAGGACTATTGTTAAATATAGCTCTGAAAAAAGAGTGGAAAAGAATATAAAATATATGACTACTTTTCTGAATAAAATAAAAAGTGAAATATCATATATATGCTGAATCTGGTACAGCTTCATGTGACGCTGATCTAAAAAATAATTTTAAATAAAATCATCTTTATACACCTATATAGTCATCTTTCTAATAGTCTAGCTAACTTGCTGAACTTCAATATGAGCAAGGTCACACAAAAAGCACTTTTGTCAATATTTCTGTGTTGCTTTATTCATGACCTTACTGTGTTTGTTGAAAACAACATTTAAACAACAATACTCAGAAAAAACATGCCTCACATGCTGTAGAGTAGCCAGTCTTTTAAGTGAAATAATTTGTAGTAAATGAATGCATAAAATACTTAATGGCAAAAAAGCTGAAATGTAATCTGTAACACATGCATTTAAGTGAAAACTAATTGACACAGTTGTCATATTCTAAAAAATTTTGTGAAGGAAAAACACAAAAATATACACTCTTTCATTATCATGAACCATGCTTTATACATGCTGAAAACACCACAGACAGTGGCTTTCATTACCTGTTTGAACTGCTGCTCAGAACAAAGAAGTTTTGAGACAGCTCTATAAGTCAACAAATTCCATGAAATTAAAGACATAAGACAAAAAATTCCAATACACCAATTTTTTTCAGACATCTGAATGACTGATATTGAAAAGGCAGAGTATGCATTACATTTGCCTTATAGAAATAGCGTCACTAATTCACAATCATTGATTCCAACTTTACAAGGTATAACTCCGATATTATATAATATGATGCTGTTTGTGTGTTGAGGAAAGTTTTTATCGATCAACTTACTTGGACATCTTGTCAATGAGGTTTGTCAGGGATTCATGGAAGCTGGCTGCCACAGTGGGGGTTCTGGGCTTCATGGCAATGTAGCGGCCATTGTGCTGGTTGACTTGCTTGGAAATAAATTTGTCTCTTAACTGCTTGAACATTTCTGAAATCAACTGATTAGAAGAAAAGAAAATCATGATAAGGCATTTCCAAAGAACTGCAAGGGACATAATCTAACCATAGATGTTAATATTCTGTGGATAATATATTGTTTTCATTATTGTATGTCATCATTTTGGAGTTGATTACATAAATGGAATATAAAATAGCAAAAGAGGTAAAATGGAGACTTGATCTTTTTTGCCATGAATATAATTTCCTTTGTTCGGAGTTTGTAATGCTACAGGCAAGTTCAGATATTTTGCTTTACAAATATGCATTTCCAAGCCTGTTTTTCTAGCATTATTGACCCACCTCCATTTTGCTGGTAGTCAACAATGTGACTGCATCATTTCTAAGTGTGTCCTTGTTCTTCTCCAAAAAGTTCCGCACCTGTATTAAACCATAACAACAAATTTAAGAAAACATTTTCTTTCATAAAATACAAATCTAGCAACTAAAAATAAGACATTCAGTATCAAAAATATTTTGTTTCTTATAAGAACATATTGTACATACATATGACAGGAACAAATACAAAAAAAAATCACAACTTGGTTAAGAACACTTTGAATCAGAGGACAGGCACAAGCCTCTTCACTGTGCTTTCATAACTGTATACATACATCATATGTGACTTTGCCAGCAAAGTGTCGTATAGAGAACACAGGGCTAGAAAGCCTTGGCTTGGAGTACAGCTCATTGTCTGCATGAGTGTAGTGGCACTTCTCCAGAAAAGACTGATCTGTACCCTAGTAAACAGAAACAAAATATATACATATATTAGATATATATATTAAAATCATGAATGGATTTTGCCTGTTTTTGTTGTTTTTTTCCACTTGGAATGGATAAACCTTGCTTTTCTCAGAGTGAATAGTTCATGGTTTTGAAAATTTATACAATGGTCACCATGCATTGTGTATATTAGATAACCAAAGTATGAAAGTTAATTCTAATAAATCATAATAACAATATTTTTTCTCATCTACGAAATCTTCTCACATCAACAAGCAGATAGCAAATAAAAGTATTATGTGCTAATGAAAAAAAATTATCATAAAAATTACTAATTTTTTTATTCTTTTTTCCAACAAGTTCAAGTAACCTGTTCTCTAAAATAAATTGGCTGTCAACTTCTACACACCTTTGGGAAATGGCTCTCATCATCAAGAAGATGCAGGATTCCAATGGGTTTCCTGGCAATCATGTCAATGGCAGGCTGGTTGTCTGTGAAGGTAATGCTATCCCATTGTATTCTCTCCTTGGCATATTCCTGCTGCTCCAGCTTGAAGATATGCTGGTTGAAATAGTACTGGAGAGTCTCATTGGCATAGTTAATGCAAAGCTGCTCAAAACCATTCACCTTGAAATCCTATAAAGTTGAAAAATCATTATTTGGTTTAGTTTGGCAATGAAGGCTAAATCCCTGTGTTAGCTGACTACAAGAAAAATTATTTGATTCAGCTTTCTTTCTAACTTAAGTTCAAGTTCTTGTTAAGTCTACTCTGGGGCCTAAAACAAAGAAATAAGTACCTCAAAACCAAAGATGTCCAGTATTGCAATAGAAGTGTGCTTCTTTCCCTTCCCTTGTTTCTTGTGGACAGTATGGTTGATTCTGTCCACCAGCCAGGTGAAGAGGGCAGAGTACAGAGCCTTAGCAATGCCATCTCTGAAACAAGCACAATCTTCATTAGTCTACAAAACCACACTGACCTTTACTGAAAAATTCATGTCACTAAAAGTTACACTTTAAACTGATAAGTATAAATGACAAAATTTTAAGTGCAGAAAATCAAATATTGTACAAAAAATTTCTAAAAAAAGACCATGAATTAAAAAATTTTAATAAAACTGCAAATATAATTCTAAGAATTTCTCAACTGTATTTAATCTTTACCGTGACCAAGACTTTCAAGAATGTTGTCATATTGGTCCCTATAAATGCATGTAGTAAACATATACAATAAATTATATAAAGCTATACCTTGCATCCAATGCTTGGTCAATGTTAAATGGTGTAAGTAATCTCTCCTGTCGTGCAGTCTGAAATTAAAGCATCAAATATAGCTTTAAAATACACAAGAGCAATATTTTTCTATAATAATTCATAATAAGCAGCTTTCAAGGAAAACAACATTGTCTTTAGGGTCAAGAGAAACTTAATTTTGGGCATTTTCTAATAAGTCCCTTGCTGTATCAATAAAAAAATGTTTCTCACTTTTTCAATTTAATCTACAGGTCAAAGGTGGATCAAGGCCAAGCCACTGTCTGCTATAAGGTCAACTTACCGTGACCTTCATGGTGAGTGCTTCCTTGAGCCATGTTGGAGACAGCTGCAGGAGATGAGACACCCACTTGACCTCCGCGTCACTGCCAATGTCCACAGTGTCCTGGTCATTTACCTGGGTGAAAATAATGTGAAAATCAAAGACTTATCTTATTATTTATGACATTTTTAATTTTGAAAACATGACCAACACTTAAAAACTAATTCCACCAACCTGTTTCTTTTCAAAGTAGACATTTCCCAAGTGTAAAACTGATGCCAGGATTTTGATGATGCTATCCTGCTCCTGCTTGGTGAAGCCTAGCACTTCAAAGGCTTGTAACAGACTCTTAAAATCCTCATAATCATTTTTTCCATCAATGACACAGCTCCCTCCCTATAAATATTAATATTCATATGATAATAAATGGCATATGTTTACATATCTGAAAACTAAATTTGCTAAATTATATTTTAGTATAATAAACTATAATATAATGTATTCAATAAAATACAATATAAATAAAATATAATAAAATACCTTTGAAATATATTCTATACAAAATGAAGCAACTATATAATATTCTGATGATATTGTATGTTCTTAATCATATAAAGGATTATTTTAAAAAAACATAAACCAAAACACAACATTTCCTAAAAACTAGATACATGTGCTGAGATTATATTACCTGGTTTAAGTAAAAGTATTTGTTGGCTTTCTGCAGCCCATATTTCTCTCTGTCACCACTTGGTAGTCCTGCCAACAGCTCATAGAACACATGGTAGTTACGCTCATTTTCAGCCTAAAATTTGAAAACATTCTTATTTGCACAGAACTTCAATTAAAATTAAATACTTCAAATTTTATATTTTCTCATTTTATCAGAAAAATTTTTTAGTTTTAGACTATAACTATTATATCCTGCACTAATCATTTTAATTGTTTATTCACCTCAGCTTTTATTTATAAAATTACTATTAATTCTGATAATTTTATATGTAAACAGCACTGAGACAGTAGTGCAGTGCAGTTTTTAAGAAATAAATATAATAATAATAATAATAATTATTATTATTATTATTATTATTATTATTATTATTATTATTATGAAAATGAAGAGCCACTGCTAATTAATCTAACTTTTGACATTAATTCAGACCTTACACTCATTCACAAGTTTTAGATGTGAAGTTTGGTGATGGACTGAAAATCAAGTAAGACTTACCTGAGTAACAATTCTTGATTTTTCTAAGAGATATTCTGATGTTCTGGCACCATTAATTTTTCCACTGTATAGAAAAAAAACCAAGAAGCTGTTTGATTGGCAATTCTAGCGATGGTCTATTCTCCTAAATGAAAATTGCATTAAATTTAAACTATGTTCACCTAAATGAAAATTGCATTAAATTTAAACTATGTTCATTAGAGAAACTAAGTCTTATCACTTACACACTGAAATAAACCTCCACGTATTTTCCAAATCTGCTAGAGTTGTCATTGCGTATCGTCTTGGCATTGCCAAATGCTTCAAGAATGGGTGTAGCTTCCAGTATCTGCTCTGTGATAAGGTTATTGCCTGACCTATTCACAGCAGCCAGGTACTGCATCAACAGTTTAAAACTTTCTGTCTTCCCTGCTCCAGATTCACCACTGTAATAATACATGTCAAATATTAATTTACTTGAACAATATACAGGATTTTCATAGTCATAATTTACTTTAAAAAACTTTCTTTGAAGAACTTTGGTCCTAAGGCCTGCTACATCCAGAGGTATGTGACATCCATAAAAGTAATCAAAGTACTTAATTCTCCTTTTTCTTTAAAAAAAGCTTTAACTTAATTCTTTTCTATATTAATCAATATATCTATACTATGTATTTGAACATTTGTTCTTTATGTGATCACTTTAAAGTTTTCAAAGTTAGTTCATCAAAATTTCATCAAAAAAGCATTTTCGGGTCAAGTTTGAAAGTGAACCTTAAACTGGGTGGATGACCTACACACCCTATCAGGCATGTTTACATGTTTTCTGTCTAACAACTGCAGAATGTCTGAAGATAAATAGACAGGTAGAAATAAGAATGCAAACAAAAACGGGTAAATAAAACCGCACGCACTTTGTGCTAATTGGAGAGCTGTTTACATTAAATCTACATGTAGCTGTTACAAGAAAGTTTCAAATGCAAAGCATAGTGATCATTTTTCATATAAGAATTTAATTTGCAATCCAGCTTGCACCTGTATTTATCACATCTTTATCTGTGTAAGGGGATTCATGTTGCCATTAACCAAAAAAATCTATGCATTAAATTTATTCACACTTTAGCAACCTACTGCTATTGTACAGCTCTGACACAAAATAACCCAAAAAACCACAGATCACAAATAAGACATCAAGCTTAGGCTGTTTTCTTTATTAAAAACAACATCATACTAAAGATGACAATACACAGCCCAAAAGGTAAGCTTGCTGAAATATAGGATCAATTTTGAAACATGAGCTCTGAAACTTTTTGCCTCGTCTCACTGTCTCGCAGATGACTTTGATGGAAAAGAATTGCCTGGGATCCTTTATAAAAAATGCCATCATGAAACGACACTTTGAGCATCAGGTGGGTCTTAACTATTGATACTCTACAGTAAGAGAACACAGATAGACACGGCCCTGTGCCTTGCACCACTTTGAACTGAACCATTATCATACACAAGCTTGACAAAGTTTATGATTCTTTAACAATGTGCTTCTGCCCACTGAACTGAATGTGGAGACTTATTCATTCTCAGTCCCAAGTTGCTACATATCAACTGTCTTCAAAAACAGAGTGCTTGTCAGTGAATTTATTCTCATGTTAAAAACAATGTGGCTGTTAATTCATCGGTCAAACTACAATAACTATAAAGAGAATAATATTTTCTGGGTTTTTTATGCATAATTTTTAGACTGAGAAATTGACAATACTATATATGGATACATTGAGGATGCAAAATCCATCTCAACAAAATGTCATCTCACCTCTTAGGGTTGAAGGCCAATTACACAAGACTACACACAAACATATCCCTCTATAAAACTTCCCAACATAATAACTTTTAATTCTATGTGCAGCCCACGTTGCCCAATGTGCACTCTATTATTATTTCAGAACCAGAGCGTTCAAGCAAAACACAATGCTATTCACTGGATCAGGCCTATAACAAAGTAAATTGCTCAAGCTTGACCAGGTAAAAATCCAGAGTGCTTTTTAAACCCCTTAAAATGGATGTTTCTGGGTTAATTATGCATTCATCATGACTCAGCCAGCCTACACAATTCCAGATACAGATCAACATCTGGAAATTTAGATCACTAAATTGCTTTAGTTCCTTTAAAACTTTTGATTTACACACATAATGCTAACTTCCCTTCCCCACCCACCATTTTCTACCAATACAGCCCAACTGATATCTGTCAAACTTTAATGTCTCTCCTATATTAGAAGTCAGCTAGTCTGTTAATAACAACAACTATATATGGCTTATTATTATAAAAACTTGTAAGTCTTGGGAACCCTGTCACTGGCAGAATACACATTATTACTATTATTATAAAATAGCAATTTTGAAGAATGCATTATTATTATTATTATTATTGGCTGTATTACATGTTGATAATAGAGTAAAATATTTTTAGACATTCTTACCTGATAACTACCACCTGATTCTGCTCATCCTTGATCATCTTGCTGTAGCATGCACTTCCAATGGCAAACAAATGTCTGAAACAGAGAGAGCACCCTGTAGAGTTAGGCAACACTGGCAGTGACACTCTTCGTCTGGGCAATTTATAAACGAACATTCTAATCCTGTTTCAGTGAGAAAAAATACTCAGTTCTGGCAAAGAAAAGAAAAAACTTACTCCAAACAATTATTTCAATGAATTCATAGATCTTTACAAGCACACTTGTGCCCACACAAAAATTACAATCTAGTAAATTTATATATTGTATTATAAATAACAGAAATTACTAATATTGTTTAAACAATTCTGTTCATCACAACAAGTTATTCTTATTACCAAAACAAGTTTTAACCTAATTTAGTGAAAACAATCATTGTAAGTCCTTCAAAACAAGTCTTAGAAATAAAAAATAGCTAATTAAAGAATATTCTTAAAGACTACTACTTACGGAGGCAGAGTTCCCATGACTTGTCCTTCATACTGTTTAACTCTGTCCAGACCATACATATCAAACATCTTGTATGGGTTCACAGCAACCAGTATACTGCCCACATAGGTCTGCAGATTAATGCAAAATATGTTATGGTGAATTTTCATTTATGTTGAATGGGTACATCTTAAGCATTATTCTATATATTTTAATGACTTATTTTTATGATTTCCTAGTTATGATTATATATTTCAAGTGACCATCTTTCATGTATCAGTGAATGTAAAATCAAATCAATGTCATATGGCTCTAATAATATTCATTTACTTCTTTTTTCTTATATAATTTTGGGCAGTTGATACACTGGGAAATCTACTGTTACCTATTTGAAGAATTCAACTACTAAACAACTTACATATATCTGTTCCCTCTCATATCTGATCTTCAAGTTCCACAGTAATGATCCCTCATTCAGGTCACTAAAATTAAAATTAAAATATTGAATTTAAATCTACTATTCAATTAAAATCTATGACAACTAATAAGACATTATAAAATGAGTTATCATTTCATGCTAAGCCCTGCACTACTCAATACAATTAAAAATTCCTTTTGAACATGTAATGGTAATGGTAGTTTATCAGTCAAACTAATGATTACATACATGTAATAGTAATTTGCAAACTGCCTATTCTCTCAAGTACAATTAATCAATCTTAACCAACAAAAAGATTAATAAGCACACATTCTAAGTAAATATATGGAACTGCACCAAAACTGTAGCTCACTCAGGAGTCAGCTCCCCTTAATGCATAAATTGGCCGATACCAATTTGACCAGTAGGAAAACATTTTTGTGTTGTATGTTAACTTAACCTTTTTGTGAGCATATGCCTGACTTTATCTGTTTCAAATATATTTTAATTACAATTTTTTGCACCTTCTGTTGATTCTGTTATTTATTTATCTTTCTTGCAACAAAGAATGTCACAGATGTTTTAGTCAATAATGTATAACCATTCAGCAGAAGTTTTCAGTTACTTCCTCTTAACTACTGTATAGAAGAACTATAATCAACCAGTGGGAACGAAAAAGGAAGTAAAAACACTCTTAGCGTACTTGGTAAACATGATCATTTGCATTTGATTAGCTTTATTGTTTACAAGTATTGCATTAGCTTCTGACCCTAGGGCACGAATATCACATCTATAGATATCAGAAAATACACACAATGGCACTTAAGGATTTTCAGTAACTTTTTCCTTTTAGATAAAAAGCCACTTATCAGGTGAATTTTTTCTTCAAGAGTTCTTTTGATTACAGCATATTTCAATCTATTATGAAGATTTATAAAATTTTCACAAGGTATATTTCAACATCAAGACAATGAAGGTGAGTGAAATAACTGGCTTGCTGTATCTTAATTGGAAAGTTAGGCTTCATTCACATGCAATGTCTATTTTCTAAATTCTATTTTCTATTTGCGGTATGTCTTATGATCACTATCTGTGCCCTGAATATCCCGCGGCGTAATTACTGGCAGCGCGAGCCAGTTACTATAAGTTACTATAAGTAACTGGCTCGCGCTGCCAGTAATTACGCCGCAGGATATTCAGGGCACAGACCGTGATCATAAGATAGCGCGAATAGAAAATAGAATTTAGAAAATAGACATTGCATGTGAACGAAGCCTTACAGCCAAAAATTAGTAGCCATAGTATGTGACAAAAATATACAACTCCAGGAGTACTATTATATTGTCCCCACGATTCTCAAAACAAAAAAGCTCCACCCTAAAACTATGTATTGAGCATACTGGAGCAACCTATGGTTTCCACATCATTTTCCTACTGCTATAGTTCCTCAATACATCAATATCTGAAATGTTGCTCACATTTTAATGGGCCAAAGGAATTATATTTTAGAATAGTAACCAAATCTGCTGACAAAAGAAAACTGTGAATAACAACTGGTAAGAAGAAAGGAAACAAAAAATAAATAAATAAATAAATAACATAAATCAGGGGCGGATCCAGAGATATTTTCTGACAGTCTTCCAAATTATCTTTGTTGATCCATCTTCCATTTTTGACCGTCTTCCGACAGAAAACATTAGATGGCTGACAATGTAAACTTGAAAATCTGACCGTCTTCCAGAAGACCCAGAAGACGGCCTAAATCCGCCCCTGTAAATCCAGTTAAACCTGAATCTAGTGAATATGTATTAATTACGACTGGTCCAATAATGGTCACTACAAATTGTTAAAAGTTTACTGCCTAATATATAAGATAGAAATTAACCTTCTGGAGAGAGAATACTTCTGTCAAATGTGTTATATGAAATACAAAGCCAGATACCCATCTGTAAGAGGTATCAGTAGACTTACTTTAATGTAATCATATCATCTACCCCCTCCTCCCCCAGTTCTTCTCTTGGTTCAACGGCAGCCATTGTGGTCCCTGACACTTGAAACACCTCCTCCTATCAATAGAAAAAATTTTATCAATATTCGTTGGCAAAAGTTTGACAAAAAATGTTTGGATTTCTGTAGGTACTTTGTACCAGAGCACACCTGGACAAAATGGATCTACAGTATCAGTTGCTGGCTGGCAAAGAGTAAAGCGTGGTAATATAATCATAGACAAAAAAACTACATGAAGACATGCAAGCTAACATATAAACTGCATGAAACATGAGTATTGACAATAAATATATAACAAACAGCTTTATCTAATGTGAATCACCTTAGGTAGCTCAGAGTCTTGCAACTTCAGACAAAATCAAGGGAGATCTAGCAGGAATTGACAGAGACTAGGGTAAGAACTAATGGCTGGCTAGTGAATACAATGTGACTATAAATACAATCTGATAAAATTTATCCACAAATATTTTTCTGGTTGTTTTAATTTCTGTCCAACTGCAAATTCAACCTTTTTTGCATGTCACTTTGGTATCGCTTTCTAGGACAACATTCTGATGCACAAAGCTACATCCTTATCGCTGAAAAGTTAACCCCACCTCACAGACTCTCTCACATTTTCAAGTCTTTGTACCCACTGCCTTGATTTTGGTTATCTCAGACGATTCACATTATATCCAATCTATCTTGAGATCAAGTGCTCTAATGCTGGTAGTGAAAACTATGATATACATAATGTCATTTTTCCTGATAGAATATTAATAAGGCCAGGTTAAATGATGGCTCCTTTTAAGTCATGCAATAAGTGTTTGACTTTTACATAGAAAAAATATAATTTTTCTGTAAATTTCAATACTTCCTCTAATCATCAAGGTATACCATATACAAATACTAAACAAAGTTACAATCTATAAACCATTTTTGCTAGTTACAAGTTTCTTATTTTGAGCATGCCTTGTAATGGAGAATTTTACTGACATAATGGTAAAGATTAAGATATTAAATGTTAAACACCATAAAAATAAGTTTGTCATTTTCTCAACAATTTGGGATATAATTGGGTATACTTAGGTTTCAAAGAGAAAATTGCTAAAATTTCCAGGAAAATATTTTAGTTGCATACGATGGTCTGATGCACACCATCTGCCTTTAAAATTCCCTGTATCTTGTAAAAAAACATATTAATACCACACAGGTGTAAACATTAACAGTCTTTTTCACTCAACTAATCTTGCTAATAGTCTTCTTTTTTAATCTACAATTTACCACATATTTACTAAACCAGTAAGAAAAGGTTTTAAGAAGCCAAACAGGAAAATACTAGAAATATGTAAAAATTGGTACTAGGACTAGATAGAAATTGGTATAAGAATCAGGTAAAAGTTATTCAGGTCTACCCAACTACCAGACACAGCACCAAATGATCCAGTATTCACCGTAGATTGGATTGCGCTACCTGTTTTCAAGGTGTGTATCAGTAGGTGCTTATAAGTTAGAAGCAGCACCCTCTTGCCTGGTACGTGATGTGATAAGGATGATTCTGCAGATGAAGGTAGAGCTTGCAGTCGTTGTACAAAATTTATCCAGGGGTATGATAAGTACTATGAAATGCATAGTGATATACACCAAAAAAACAGAAGCGATCCGATCTACCAGTGAATTCTGGCTCCTTCAGTGCTGTGTCTAGTAGTTGGGTAGGCCTGTTATTGGTACAAGCCAGGTTAGATAACTTAGGTGTAACATTCACATATTCAGTGTGTCTCCAATGTGGCATTGTTCCATGTCAAGTCAGCTGTGTACAAGTTATGTCAGTTCCATTACATGTGGATACATTTCTGAACATGGCCCAGTAGCAGCCTCACACACTATTGTAGTCCTGTACACCCATGTAAGAACCACTGACATTCTGCAAGCTGTCACCTTTGTAAGCCATAGACTGCTAGTTACATACAGCATATGTGACCAAAACAGTTTTTAAGTTGAATGAGGTCTGCTTGTTACACGTAGCAAAGGTAGACTAAACTTTAAATATCCCAAGTTTTTAAATCTATTTACAGGGATAGAATCTACTCACAGTTCCGGTCTTTGATGAAGTCCTGACAGTAATAATGTGATTTGTAGGATCGTAGTCAGTCACTTCCCCTGGTACTGGGTACCCTGACCCGGCGCTAAACCACACTAGACGACCCTGGAAAATGTAACAGTTGCCCAAGTTACGCCACGAGTCAAGAAGGTGTATGCACGTGTGCACCAGTGCGAATCACGAGTGGATGTCACATACAGCTCTCTGACGAGCAGTGAACCTGAATTATACCATAGCTGATGTCAAGAACAAGAGTCAAACAATATGGATATATGGCATTCATGTGTGATATGCACAAATACTATTTATACCATATCTGGGTGTTATGTTCTTGATATCCACCATGATATAAATATAACATGAAAAAATTACAGTCGAATGGGTATTACACAATTTTCTTGTGAGATACATAAAATATGGATACATGATCTGGAGCCCTTTTTACTTATATTCTCAAGTAAGGGGGTTTACTGGGGGGGGGGGTATTTGATAAGTGTGAGATAAAACACTGTCACTTTAACAGCATATGCCAGAACACTAAGAGCATCGGCATATATTGTAAGAGGGTGGCAGTGTATTATTTGACATATGTACATACTGAGAGTGGGAGAAAGTATTCACATTTTACTTTACAAAAAATACCCCTAAAACTAAATAAAACGTATAACACCTCTGGGTATAAACATATATCAGGACACAGCACCCTAGTTCAATTATAACAGCATCTTTTAAATCAATCCTATTTGGTCATCACCCGTTACATCCAAGACCTTTGGACACATTTCTGTTACTACATTAAGGCTTCATTCACATGCAATGTCTATTTTCTAAATTCTATTTTCTATTTGCGGTATGTCTTATGATTACGGTCTGTGCCCTGAATATCCCGCGGCATAATTACTGGCAGCGCGAGCCAGTTACTATAAGTTAGTGGCAGCGCGAGTATAGTAACTGGCTCGCGCTGCCAGGAATTATGCCGCTGGATATTCAGGGCACAGACCGTGATCATAAGACATACCGCGAATAGAAAATAGAATTTAGAAAATAGACATTGCATGTGAACGAAGCCTAAATGCCTAATAATGTGAAAAAAGGTCTTTAAGTTAATATAAGGTATTATGTAAAAACTAGGTGCCACCAAAAAAGTTTGATGTACATCCAGAAGCTTTTTCTAGTATATACATATACTTTTATGTGTCTACTGTTTTGAAATTACATGACACTGTTTTTTTAAAGGTTCTGCACAGCAACGCTTGTGCAAGATTTTGACACATTCCTAAGTAAAAAAAAAATCTTCCATTCAAAATAAACATACTTTTTAAAATGGCTCTCGTGAACAAACAAAATAAAGCAAACAAAAATTCAGGTATGTTTGGGTGTTTACATCAGTTTCTCACCAAACTCTATACTCCTACCCCTTGCTGGGAGCCCCCCATGCCATTGCTACAAACTCCATCCTAGCTAAACAAATTTGCATGTGTACATATCATTCTTAGTCCAGTTTTCTTTTTCTCTGTATGCTCTCTGTTTCTGCAGGAACCTGAGACCATATTTTTTCTACTTGACTGCTTGGCCATACAGAGCAGGGGCATTGTTATCACAGCGACAAGTGAAACACCTCACTGCTCAGCTTTGTGATAATGTTTTACCTAGGTGACCTAAAGTACCATAGGAAATGAAGACTATGAAATATTGATATATATATATATATATATATATATATATATATAATTCTTGATTTTTTTGTAGATATTTGAAACCTAGCTTATTGCCAGAACATCAATTTCAAATTATATTTTGTTGCACTCAATATGGTTAACAACATTGCAAAAGTAATTGCAACATTAATTATTATGCTGCTAGAAGCAGATTCTTCTGTCCTGGAAAAAAGCTGTTCCTTTTCAAAAGAACAGACCCAAAGAGAGCTTTTGTGATTAAAAACTTTATCTAGTTATAATAAAGCAAAACTTACACCCATAAAAGAAAAGAGACCTTGACAAAAGTTAAAATAAAGACTATTTGCCTTATTAAATACATATTATAGTTACCTTTCTCTGACAGTACTTATCATTGTCCTTTTAAACTGTGTAACAGGTTGAAACTCTTGAAGAATATCATTTAAACAACATTTCTTGACCAAATCAAAACAAATTCTTGCCTGCTTTAGGTATGCAATATACCATTTCGATATCAATTCACTTTTTCATTGGTTCATTCTCTAAAAGGGATATTTAAGTTTTAAAACTCTTTGCCATTTTAACAGAAACTGGTATACCATGCAGGCCAATCATTTTACATCAATACTCAATGTACATTTAGTGAGAAAAAAAATACTAATATACAAGCCATTTGCGTTGGTTAAATAGTGATAAACGTCAAATATGCTTCTCTTTCTTGGTCATCATTATGTAAAAGTCTGAGAATATTGGTATAAGGCATCCTAATGTAAACATTATATTTATGCATTCATACACAAAGCTCGCATGTTGTAAATTACATGCATGGTCATGAAAATGTACGGTGCTGACTAGAATTCTACTCACATATCAGGACTTATCATAACCACCATATTTGCCAATTGTGTAATATATATACAAGATGAAAAGCTTACTGTACGTGACAGCTTGTTGCCTTACGATTCACATTAATAACTTAATGTGGAGTGCAATAAAATTATTCTTACTCCCATCATTGTTAATTACAGCAACACATTAAAAATCAAAGGCATCTCATCATAAGATAGTTACCTTGCTAACATGGTCTCCAGTAGTTGCCATGTTGGTAAAGATAAATCCAACTTTCACGACATGAGACTAGCCTCTAAAATAGTCTAAGTATGACATAGTCCACTTCTCCAATCCCTGCCCTTTCCTCTACTGTATTCACCACTCTAATCCCTTCCCCAAACTGTGAGCTTCGGGCAGGATTGTCATCATGGTCGCAGAGAATGTAACAGGCAAGGCGCGAGACACCCAAGCTCCACTTGAGAATATCCTGTGACTTTCTCAAAGCTAAACAGAGTCCTTCATCCTTAATTATTCTCCCCCTTAGAATTGTATTATTCGGCCTTCACTGAGCACCTATACCCTCTTTGTTGATTCGGGTCCTCAGTACAATACTGCATGGTATTTGAACAAACTAGACTCTTGTAAGCATATTTATTTTTCATTCTTATAGATGGAGTTCCTTTGTAAGATGGATCCATAACTTAATAAATTGGATATTGGGCCATGTGCCAACTTTCATACAATTATTACTTAACAGGTATGCCAAAGCCTCTGGCAGAGTATGGTTAGTTGATTATAAAAAAAATTATTTTATAAAAACCATTATATATGGGCATTATACAAAGTGTGGTGTATCTGTGAAGAAAAATGTAGTAAATATAACCAAAATTTTAAAAATCTTATACAAGTTTGTGTTTCCATTTAACAAAATGAGCTGGTCAAAATATGTGTAGGTAAACAACATGCAAAAGGTTTCAAGTTGATTTAGAGTCCACATGTATTTAGTCTTGAATTTCCTTTCATCTCCTGCAACAATTCTCCCACACGGAAGGAGAAATTTGCTCAAGATACTGTATCATTAAAGAGGAAAAGAAGTGCTTTTTGCTTTCAAAATAAAGCCTTGGTTCATTCTTTTCTATGGTATCATGTTTTGTACATTAACATTTCATCATTTTAATAGAAAACAGCAACAGAATGTAAATCAAGATTATCAAACTCTTAATTGCTTACAAAATATTTGCCACTTAAAATTAAAATGATTATGAATTGAAGATCTATTGATGAAATCTCAAAATTACACACTTATATACCCTTAACAGTTCAGTCACAAAAGGAAAATGTAAACTAGTTTTAACTGTTTTTGGGACTTTTTATAGAATTTCCCTTCTCTATACAAAATTATTCATGGTGTCATTTTTCAATTCTATTAGTTTCAATATTGCAATATTGATCTTTAAAAAACAACTGACACCACCATCTTCATTTTTTTTATCATGATGACACCAAGTATTCCTTCTGCAGCCATTTTTTTTTTCAAAATAAATTAAAATTCAGAAAAACTGAAATCCAAGGCATTTTTTCAACATTCCTATATTGAAAACCAAAAGAAAAAAAGCTATCCTTGGAGTTATAATATCTCTCACATGTACACTGTATAAGGAAAGTCATGTCCTGCACATAAAATCTATTTAAACATCTGGGCCAATTCACGAATGCGAAAATAAAATGATCACAACCAAAAAAAGCCCAAGGGATGACTTTGGTTCCAAAGCTGTATTATAACCTTCCATCCTGACAGGAAACGTGCCATTCTTTTAGTATTTTCGTCTTTTTTTTTTCCTTGAAGACCGACAAAGCATATCACCTATCCCAGGGCAGTCGCACAATACACCAATAACAATGAGAGCTGTTAAGATAGCTAACCACATACGTAGTATAATTCTATAGAACAGGAGATGAAAAAAAAAAGGCTATTTTTGTCCAGGTATGCTGTCCATAATCTATAATGGATCCTTGGCCTTTGACAAGATCCTGTTTTGATCAACTACTTTTAAATACAATTTAGCATGCAAAAATCTTACTTTTAAAACAGATGTTTTACACAATACATTTCCTGCCTCAGCTTGCAAAACTTCAGTTCACTTCTATGGTTTTAGTCTCAAATGAAGTGCATGGTTTTATTACATTTTAATCTATGTGATTAATCAAAGGTTATAATGACCTGCAACCTGTTGGTCACATTCAGTTATTAGCATAAAGAATCAACAAAGTTAATGTCCCATTCCAATTGGTCATAACAAAATATGACAAGTGGCCAGGAACTTAGAGAAACAACATCGAGATATTTTAACTAATGATCAAATACAATTTCTTGACATGTTTTAAATAAAATCCAAGCCATTCTTGAAAACAATTACTTGGCGACACCCTGCATTATATTACACAATCTGAAATCAGATTGCTTTCCTCAGATAAAGATTTATAGTAACTGGGCACCATTTCCTTGTAATCAAAACTTGCCTTAAGTTTATACCTACCTCACTTCACGGTTGCCATAACTTTTATCTCAAAGGCCATATTTTACTGAACTCACAACTTGCAGTTTTGCATGTAAATCTACACAGAGCTGCACTTCAATCTGATCAAGATGTTTGGAAACCCACAAAGTCTCAGCAGCAAATCTCCAAATGAAACAGGTTTTTAAGTAATTGCCAAGTTATTAATTTTGTCATTTTGTCAGTATTAATAACAATGGAGAACAAAATAAAGGCTTAAGCATTAACAGACCAATCATAAAACCTTCTAAGACTAACTTGTACTTGAAATGCACTTAATTGAAGGTAGCAAGCATGGTATAAAAAACTTTTTGTGGAAAGGTAAGGGGTCTTTATTTTTTGCTTTTTCTTTCTTAATTTCATTTTATTTTATTTTATTTTTGAGGAGGGGAAAACAAATATCAAACCATTTGTAAAGGTACTGTAAGACGACAGAAATAAATCACAATTTTTAGAAATAAAAAAGTTGCTGGTTAATAATTACGTAATACCTGATGGAAACATCTCCAGTCCAGCTGGGCCAGTAACTTGGAACCATATCTGCAAATAGCGTGGTTACTATTTTTTACTATCCCCACCCCTTGGTATGGCATCCACTTAATTCACTTCCAATGAGCTGACCCTAGGACCCAGTTTCACAGACCATGAGCCCATTTTTTTATAAATTTCCAAAAAAGTGATCACAATTGACTGTTCAGTCAGATTTAGTCCAAATGACAACAGTTCACACAAATTCATTTTTGTATTACACAATGTGAGTAACTGGCCTACCTAGAATAAACATCCCTGCCTTAATTCTTGTTTGTTGCCAAATTTAGCAGCCTTTTTAATAAAAAATCAACCCTTTTCAAACTAAATTGCCCACAAATGATTACAACTCATCACCAACTCGCCAATGATATCAAGGCCAATATAATATTTGCATTACACCCTAGGGAACATGTCTTCAAGCCCATCATACAGTGCCATATGTTGAATTTTGAATTTGAAAGCTTCAGAAGCATGTCTGCTCTGAAACTCAGGGTACAGTGATCAGAAGAGGGATCAGTGCGTATTCATAACAGTGGACTAATAGATCCACCCATCACATTTGGTGACCCACTTAAAAGTTTGCTGCTTAACTCCCAATTAGGTACTGAACAGATCCTCCCCCCCTTGCAGTGATTATGCAACAAGCATTCAAGTGGAACTGCCATATTTGATCCAAGGATCTGTTAGTCTGTTGTTCTGAATGTGCTCTTAGACTGGCAGCCTATGGTTGAAATGGTTACACCACAGTCTGCTGACAGTGCACTAAGATAGGCTGTCATAACAGGGTTGTAAATGCACCCTTAACTCCTTCAAGGTGATTGTGCCTTTCCACCTTGATCCTTCGGCTCCTCTCTGACATAATTACATCACAGACCTCATCCAACAACTTACCTAGTTGACAAGATCTTGTCATGACGTCTAAATCTGTACCTAGATCATCACATTGGCTAACAGCTGTCACATTATCACGACACGCCCTCCTTATCTCCGGCAGTAAGGACAAGAAACAGAAGATAACATGCCTGACAAACACCTGTTGTGAGGTGATGAAGACGCAGCTAACCTAGTATGCCATTTCACTGCCCAATCCTAGGGAAAAGGTGGGCAGTTGTCCCTCCTTGACCTTCTAACTAAAAAATAAGCCCCATATTCCCCTTTCAAACTAGAATTTACTAATCCAGAGGTCATGAATTGTCAAAAAAAAAGGCTACTGTCAAAATGAAACCACAGTTGGCATACCCTAAAGGCATATGAATGATCTACCTCTGTTTTTTTTTTCTTTTCTTTTTTATTGGTGAAATAGGAGAGTACCACTTAAAGCGGTGTTTAACAATAATGCATACATAACAGAACAATGTGGAGACACAAAATCGTTAAACATATTTATATTATAGCCTTATGGGTGTGACTTTGCATCTAGTGTAGTTGCCTTTGTTGTCTTCAGATACTTATAAATATCTTTTTTTTTTAGATTAATATTATATTAATTATATTAATTTCATATTTCTCAAATTTCATATTTCATATTTCTCAAAATTATATAATTTTAATGACTAATCTAAGTTCATAACAAATGCTCACATGAGTAAGAACATGTCTTTTGAGCTATTTCTGTAATGAAGGTAGGTCAACATACTGGATCCCCCATAAAAAATTCAATACCACATATTGATCTAAAGCGTATACTTACTGTAATATGTGAGAGTTACAAGTGACAACAGGACTTATGACAAATGGGGCATCCCTCTGCTCTTTATGACCAACTTTCAAGAAAACTGCTTTTTATCTTAAGCCTTTTTTTCCTTTTCTGTATACATGAAAGTGGAAAATGACAACCATCAAAGAAACTGTACTCAAGCAGAAACATGCTGCTCTTTTCAACTGACTTCTTAGACATAATTTCCTGGAGCCTGTATTTTAAACATTTTCAGTGTGTGATTAAAGCACAGGCCCGTAGCCAGGGGGGTTCAGGGGGTTCGAAAGAACCGCCCTTTTTGCTGGTAAAAGGTCCACTTTGGATAAAATTTGATCTAGGCACAAGAAGGTTTTATGGTAAAAAGTCCTCTTTTTCAGAAAACGAACCCCCCCATCTGAAATTGCTGGCTACGGGCCTGAAGCATTTTAACTTGCTGGGAAATATGTAACAGAATGGTGCTTAGATCAGCACTGCAAGGAAAGGGAACACTAAATAATTAACTGTGCTGTGAAACTTGGAACAAGATTTCATATTCTGTATATATATATCAGGTTACTCCTTGTCCAACCTTTTAGAAAAAAAGAACCAGAGCATGTCATCCCTATAGCTAAGGCCCTTTTGTCAATTTTCTTTCCACATTATTCAGTAATACTTGGCTAAACTGGAATGATTGTTAAAATGTCGTCCACATATATTGAGCACATCCATTAAGTCTTAAAATGCTATATTTAGTGCTCTAAAGAACTGAAATAAAGCCAGATTGATTGCCTTTAAACTGATTGATAACTATTCTACTGTTTACATTGTGGGCGCCTCCTTTTTAAGTTTAGAAGAGATTACAGCCATTTAACACAGGCTTACCCTCAAAATGCACCTTGTGTTTTCTACCTGTCCACCAAATATATTACACTTTCAAAATGGTCATAAAGGATTTAAGATCTGCTACTGAAAGCCAATACAATTTTTTATCATCATACAAGTATTACTGAACCTTTGAGCAGTGTTAATACTGTACGTTTTACTATGGTTTAAGCAAGGTTATCTTTATCAAAGCCCAGTGCCACATGAAAAAAATAATTTCATCAGAATGATACTCTACAAATGCACTTCAATGTTACTAGTTTTCATCAGCAACAACAGCTCACTATGGGATTAATGGTAACACTGCCTATTGCTACGTTAAATAAAGGTAAAAGCTTAGATCACACCTCAATATGAGGCCAAAAGTAACAAAATTACTATCTTCATTACGTGATAACATGAATCTTCGGTCCTGTTTTCGCATTACAACAAGCACTTACCAGAGATATGTCACACTTATACACAATAATCAACAACACAGAATTGTGAGAGACGAGTTCAGATCCTGTTTCACTTTAGCAAGAATGTCTCCAGGTGATCCCTCCATCCTGGTATCAGATTTCTTCGACGGCTCACCTGTAAGCGTTTTTGTCGCATAGATGACTGATCAAGTAAGAAACGTACCACCTCCTCTTTTTCCTACATGTCTAACATATAATTCTGCCCTGTTACATGAGGCAAGTAGGCTGTAGATGTATGAAGACAATACCCACTGTCTTCTACGTCATTCTGTTTTTCAACACTGAGGAAGGTTCAATAAAGAACTCATAAATTCATGTTTGGTAACTGCTTAACTGATAAGGCTTAAAATCAACAAAACTCTGTCCAGAAACCTTTAAACTGAAGTCACGAGCAGCCTGCCTTCCTTAAGTTAAAGGCATGATCAGTTAAGCTGTCCCAGCAACACTGTCTCCAGCTGTGCTTTCTCCCCATTACCTGTCCAGCTTTCACAATACCTGGACACTGGTTTGCATAAGAATTAACACCAGCTGGGTTAATCAAGTCCATAGAAATTCCATAAAACTAACGGCTGGATTATATACGTCTATCACTACAGTCTTGTGTCTGAACTACTGGTAGGGTTTGACTGGGTTTAGTCTTTGACTTACCTGAGAAAAATGACTTGTAACCTTATGCCCTGCTCAACATATCTGGTGTGGACACCTTTATGTACGTCATTTAACTGTTTTGAAATCTTGTTGGGTGCACCTAAACCACACCTTATTTGTTCTGTGAACAGTTCAATATTTGCAAAGCACATACGGTGTACAATATACCTTCATTATTTATAGATCAGTTACTATATTCCTCCGTACAAGTTATACATCAAATCTACATTATATCGATGATAACTAATCACAGAACAAATACTTCTTAGAATGAAAAATCTTTACTGTATATCTTCATACTTGTTACAAAGTATCAAAGGGGACCTGGGCATTTTTATACCTGTTTCATTTACAGTACTCTGAGTAGATATTAAGTTTTAAAAAACTCAGTACAGATACCTTTCTACAGATGGATACTGGTCACCATTGTCCATTCACGTCCAGTGCTACTGTACACAGACCTTTGTAGGGTTCAATAAGTGGGCAATCAGGTTGAATGGACTTTCCTTATTCAAATTGAGGCGTGATTCAATGAGATCACACCCACCCCACCCAATAACAATACAGTGGCTACACCTGGTAGCAATAAAGTGAACTAACAAAGCTATAGAACTGCTATCAAATTGTTTAGACCAAGGGATTTAACTTTGATAAGACACAAATGGGAGTGTGTGCATGTGCTTGGCAGTGGTGGTGTTTTGGTGGGCAACAATATCTCCTACATCAGGGGCGGATTGAGACCGTCTTCTGGGTCTTCCAGAAGACGGTCAGATTTTAAAAATTACATTGACGGGTATCTATTTTTTCTGTTGGAAGACTGTCAAAAATGGAGAATGGATCAACAAAGATAATTTGGAATACTGTCAGAAAATATCTCTGGATCCGCTCCTGTGCGTGTACCAGTTTAAGAAATATATTTCAGCTAAGTCAAGGAAAATCAAGCTTGGTACATGTACATCACTTCATGTGATTTTTTGTCAAGGCTAAAAATTATTTATTCAAAAGGTGAGATGAGAAATATAATTTTTTTATGGTCTGATATTGATTTTTATCACTAATACAGTTTTATGTAAATGTTTTTATATTTGTATGAGCTTAAAACAAAAACAAAAAACAAAATTACAAATATCCATATGGCAGCAAAATATAATCACTTAGCTCAAAAGAAAGGACCTATACACCATTTAAAAAGATCATATTAACTAAAAACTTGGGCAACTTGAGCTTTATTAATGTAAATAATAATGTTAAGCAAATACTGTTCACCAACCTGACTAATCCAAGACATGGCCCTGTTTCATGCTGTTTTGTCCACTTCAATGTCCCTCTAAATGACCAGCTATCTCAGTGACCCCATGTCAGTGCACTTGCCTGGTAGAAATTCTGTTCGTGATAACTTTTGCTTGCTAGGTAGCTAGGATATTTCTTTAAGCTTCACTATCCCCTCAGTAAAGTGCTCAAAGGATCAATCTTTTATCACTCCCCCAGAGGTCGGGACCACTAAAGATAACAACGTCTAGGTATTAAAAATATGCTCATTTCAATACCAAAAGAAAGGTGCTGGAAAGGAATTTCGGGTCACAGACCAAAGTTGAGCAAGCAAGCGTTAGAATAGTCTTCTTGACTTAAGGTGAACAGAATTTGATGTGCAGTGACTTGGGTAACAATTTAAAGATTACAATTCAAACACACATACCAAATAACGTTTAAAGAAAGGAATGAGTTGCGTAAAAAGAAAAAGAAAACATTCTCATGTACAACATTTACGGGACTGAAAAAAAGTGAGTGGGTGGCAGATTTTGCAATGAGATCTTAAATCATAAAATGCTACAGAAAAAATGCACAATCATCCATTATATCACTGCATGTGAATTTACTTGGGTATCAAATATGGTTCCCAAACAAATTTGTTTTAAAACTGAGCAGCGTGCTTTCTTTTCAGTTACATAGCAATTAAAAGTGTTAAGATTCTTAACCTAAATAAAAACTACTTATTACTTATTTATATGGCATTTTAAGAAAAACACTTTGTGAAAGCCTTTAATATTGATTTTATCAGATGAAAGTGTTTTTATTAAAAACACATAATGAAAGCCCTTGATTACTGTGAATAATTATCCTCTAGTATTTCATTCTTGCTCTGTGTGTGTGTGTGTGTGTGTGTGTGTGTGTGTGTGTGTGTGTGTGTGTGTGTGTGTGTGTGTGTGTGTGTGTGTGTGTGTGTGTGTGTGTGTGTGATATTTAGTTAGCAATCTAGTCTAAAAGATATATGGGTATAAATAATGTTTAACTTAGCAGCTTAAGTCAGAGCAGAAGTGTTACTGAAATGTCTTCCATACAATTGCTAAAAGCCAGTGTCCGATATTAAACAAATAAAAATGCACAAAATTAATCTGCGGCCCTGGCAGAGGATAGTAAATATGTGGAAAACAAATTATATATCACTGCAGTACTTTTGGACTGGGGTGTGGGGAAAATTGTAAGACCTGCATGGAAAAGAGAGGTAAATCTGTAAAAGATGTGTGGAAACATCAGTACCTTACTACCAATGCTTTTAATCGTGTGTGCTCTAGTTAGGAAGCCCTGGATGTCTTAAGTTGACATTACATGCAATTTTTTTTTTTTTTAGCTTATCTGCATATAAGCTTCAGCCCTTTCAGAAAATATATATAAAAATAAATATGGTAGACTTGGATTTATCAAATGCATCAAGTGTCAAATGCTTATGCACTTCACCTTTACTTAAAAACAGACAATTAACTGGTAGTCATTGGATATCTCATAGTCATATAGCCAGTATGTTCTATGTAATAGCAAGTATCTGCTTTAATGAACTCTCTGCAGGTGTTAAAACTGCCAAATTAAATGTAATGACTGTCTGGCTACAGACAGTTTCATACTGAAAAAAAGAAAAGAAAAACATCCCCATCGTCCTCCTTTAGGACTTCATTAGTGGAAAGTTTCTGAAAAAAAAATTAAAATGCTAAGCACTTTATCATTTGTTGAAATAGATATTTTTGCAATGGTGGTAAAAATGAAATAAAATAACATTCTAAGACTAACTAAACATCATGTAAACATCAAAAATCGCCTACACGAGGTCGCAGCATCGTCGTTTATTCTCTTACAAACGATTTATCTATTTTACGACTTAACTTAATCAAGTTCCAAAAGCAGCTCTGAGCTGCAAAATACAAAAATTTGATAGCAGCCACAAAGGTTAAAACATTTTACTCTTTCTATAAAAACATACATCTATGAAATTGAAATACATGACATACCGTGTGCCGTTTCATTTATTGCTTGTTACCTTTTTAGTGCCCAGTGCTCGCTACGGAAACGATATTAACGAACTTCACTGATAAAAACAATCCTTCATGCGTAAGTTGTTACCAACAAAATCCCAAAGTCTCCCTGAAGTCTAACATGACGGAGAACGAGAATTAATTGTACCAGTGCATCACCTTGTCATGCTGCAAGTTAGGTACTAAGTCTCGCTTTCGATGTTTGGTGCATTAGTTGAGACAAGTTGTAATGAGATTGTTCATGTTTCTCAACAACCGCAATATGGATGTGCAAAAGACCAAAGCCAGTTTTATATCAAATGTAAAGGGTATTGAAGTTTTGAAGAATTTTTAATTGCAGTAAAAGTTTTAAATTGCTGTCAGTCAAATTTTGTAATTATGTTATGAAAGCCATAAAATTTTTGATTAAAATTAATAGCCTTCTATGCATACATCCATTCAAAAGCATCAATACATTATCGAAATATACTTTATTTGATCTGGATTAGATGAACCCAGCAGCATATATGAAGACCAAGTCACCAAAATATATAATATATAATTGGTTCCTGTTCTTAGACATGTCAAACCATTAGCCTTTGTATTCTAGTAAATTCAAGATTCATATTTTGCAATGATGATAGCATCTCTATGGCAAGCACTGAATCAATTCGGAAGCACTGAATCAATTCTGAGTTGATAATTACAACTAATCACAAATCTAATCACTTAAATAAAAAATTAATTTTCTGTATCCAAAGTTTTATTATTGATAACCAATATGTGGCTTCACTTAAATAGTTATAACCTTTAAACTTTATGTATATTTGTTTACAAAAAAAAAAAAAAAAA